TATTTGTTTTCTCTTTCTGTCTTTCTCTCTTCTCTTTCCCTCTGTTATTGAAGGTTTTTTTTGTATTATTACTATTGTTGTATTGGTAAGAGTATTTTTTTTCTTGGAATGTATTTTTTTTAAATATAGGTATGCTTTATACTCGGGTGTGTGATTTTGTATGTTGCACTTTGAAAACTTAATAAACATATATTTAAAAAAAAAAAGAAGCTAAATCTTGACCTGAGGAGCCTTTTAATAAAAGCAGAGGTAGAAGTGTTCAGTTTTCATGTGTACCGGTACTCTCACACACATCATAAAGGTAAATTAAGTGGTGCCTTTGTTGGATTTGCTCATTTCAATAGTGTAAAATTCTGTATCTTTATAAGGTATGTAAGTCCTATGTTTATATCCACGCTGTTGTTTAGCATTTTAATATTTCACATGTGATGTTAAATGTGTGTTTTTCTGTTAGAAAATAAAATGATGTGGGATTGCTGACAGGTTAGGGATGCTGAAAGGTTAACAAACAAAAACTGTCTACTGACACCGCAAGCTTGCTGAGGAGGAGGGATTGCCTCTCGTGACTCATAGTGATATCATTAGCTGGCATGGAAAAGAAGATCTGCCCTGACTGGCATAACGGGCTAAATCTGAAAGTGTTGGACTGTGGTTAAATATTATATACAAAAGATCAGTTTGCCTTACGAAGTGCCTTGAGATTAATTTTGTTTAAATCTAGTGATATGTCCTGAAACTGAACTAAATTTAGTTAATAGTGCTGTAATAGGCCATTTATCCTTTAAAAATAGTTACGTTGCAGTATCTGAATTGAATTTAGGGCCAGACCTTGGTTTGACGACAATATTTTCCTATTCTTTTGGTTGTAGCATTAGTTTTATTCTTTGGGCCAATTTCATGCTGCACAATAAAAGTGTAATTGAACTTAAGGTCCGGATTGTGGCTGATTCCTCACACCCCAGCCACAAACTATCTCAGTCACTTCCCTCTGTCATGAGGATGCAGTCCATCAGGCCCAAAACCTCACACCACAAGAACAGTTTCTTCACATCCCCTACCAGCCTTATCAACAAGGCACAGAGACCCCCATGACACTGCCTCTCTCCCTCCCTGTTCAGGACCTACATTAGATAATGCACAGTCTACTGTGTATATAGTATATAGCTATGTATGTACTACGTACTACGTCCTGTTTCTCTAACCGTGACTGAGTGGATGTGCTCTCTTCGTCCTCTGGCATGGGAGCTGCCTTGGAGCTCGTCTGCCTGACTGTGTGTTTCCTGGACGGGGCCGCCTTTTACAGCTGCTTTTTGTATCTCTGCTTCTGTCTCCTTAAACCCCAGTCTGCCTCAGCAGATGGCCGCTCACACTGAGCCTGGTTCTGCTGGAGGTTTCTTCCTGTTAAAAGGGAGTTTTTCCTCTCCACTGTCGCTACAAGCATGCTTAGTGTGGGGGATTGTATTTGAGTCAATGAGTCAATGCAATCAACTGGTTTTCCTTAGATAGAAAACTTTGTATCAATTTGACTGTATGATCTGGTTGAACTGTAAAGTGCCTTGAGATGACATGTGTTGTGAATTTGGCGCTATATAAATAAACTGAATTGAATTGAATATTGTGTATAGTTTAATGTATGTTTTATATTGTATATAGCTCTAGATTCTGTATGTATATCTAATTTGTCTGCATCGTCAACACAAAGGAAAATTCCTTGTAAGTGCAAACTACTTGGCAATATACTTGGTTCTGATTCTGATAGAATGTTTTTCCCATAGAAGTTTTGAGAACTTTAGCTTTGCTATATGGCAATCAGGAGACTGGACATTTATGTTGTGTTATGTTTGCTCGTCTCTTTGATATTGTTGATTCACTTAAACGTTTGACTGAAGTGAATCCTGAGCTGCTTTACAAGTTTAGGGATGATTCATGACCTCCTGGTTGCATGGCAGACTGTGCCACTCCCAGAGAGGTTCACCACAGCTGTATGTTAAGTTGTAGATTATTGCTCTAATTTTGGCTGTTTCCCCTAAGTCCTGAAAATAGCCTGTAATCATTTTACAGCCTGACAGACGTCAAAGACATTGTTTTTCTACTTTTTTCCTCTTAGAAGATGTGAGGCTCTCTTTCAGTTTTTATTTAAGAATCCAGCAGGTTAAGTAACAAAGTCTGGGGTTGGCTTGTGCAGGGAGCTCAGCTTTCTAAATACAGTCAATTTATAATCTAAGGTAAAATTGATTACTTTTTGGTTAAGTTAACTCTCAGAAGACATGAAAAATGAATTTAAAAAAAAATGTATTTAGTATTTAATAAACCAACAGCGTGAAGGGCAGATCTGGGTAGATTCAAAAAGCAGTGGCTGTGGGATTCTGGTCCTCTGAAAAACAGGGCATAGGGTTAAAACGGAACATGACTGAGAAATGATTGCAACAGGCTTACTTATCAGAGTGAGATTCCTCCGCTAAGCAGAGGTGAGTGGGATCTAAGGCTGTGGCTGAGAAAAACGGGTCCTTCCAGTGGAGGTTGTTAGTGAAGTCCACAGCAGCGGCTGAGTGGACAGATTGTGCAAGGAAGAGCGGTTCTAGTCTATTTAGCTTCTCAGAAGAGTCTCTTAGAGTGAAAGCTCTTTGCTTAAAGGCTCGTTAACTCTCAGGGACAGTGTTCTGAAAAAACATGAACAAAATTACTTTGATGCACAGAGGTTGAAAGAGCACTGGAGGGCTTGAGAGTTACCAATCAGAATAACATGGAGAATAGTTGCCGTCCTTCTCCTCTTAAGTGTCCAGGTTGCTGATGATATGCAGATGTAGAGGCACCGTACCTGCAGCTGATGACCCAATGTCTGCAGCAGCTCCAGGAGAAGCCCTCTGTAGGGAGTTTTTTTTTAAACTTTTTTTTTTTTAATTATTGTATTTTTTTGTGCCTTAAGTTTGTTGCTCCTGGTCCACACTCCTTACTGGTTAGTGGTGGTAATACATCAAACTCTTGTTTGCTAAAAAAAAATTAATAAAAAAAAATCAAGAAGAAAAAAAACCTCTTTTTGGACAAACCCAAGGAAAAATAACCCAGCCAGAACTACTCCTTGAAAATTAGTAGTTAGTTTGCTGATCTGAAAATAAATTTGGAGAAAAAGGAAAAAAACGGGGATGAAGGTTTTTATACAGCCTCTCTACAAACTTTCTGTCTAACATGTGTGCTTCTCACTCTTCAGTGGCAGATCTAAAAGGATGAAACAAAAACAGTGCAAATTGTTAATTGTCTGTTATATATTTTGTTAACCAAAGAGCCATTTACAGCTCTGGACACCTCATATCTAGCAGATAATAAGTAATTTCCCTCTGGGATTATTAAAGGATTTCTGATTCTGATGAAAAATGTGATCTTATTGCAATATAACTGAAGCTAACAATTCATCAACTTAATTATTCAATGGTTCATGAAATACATTTTTTTAAAATAAATTGGCCCAGGGGAACTATCAGTTGTGGTTTATATTCCAGTATATATCATAATTTATTCACCATACATTAATTTTGCATAATTTCTTTAGTATTGGGGAAATAACAGCGACCAGGAAAAATTGTAAAGGGACATTGCCCCCCAGTTGGCCCCTGAGTAGAACCGCCCATTTTGGTCTGGATGCTGTCAGTTTTCCAGTGTTCTGTAACAACCCATCCTAGAATATGCTGACACAGTGAGATCTGATGGACTTTATTCACTTATAAGAAGCCTTTAACCTATATCCTTTTGTGAAAGATAACTACATTTAGGAGTGTACCAATGAAGGGGAATGTAAACATATGTTAGTTTAAAAGTATCTCCTGAAATCAATCAACCATCAGCAGACATCAGTGCCTTTTTTTTTTTCTTTTTTTTTAGCAAGAAAATGTTTATAAGGGTGGTCAGTGTAGATTGACCGTTACCTTTCCAACAGGAAAATTAACGAGCAAAACATCCATATTTTCTAAATAAAGATAAACTATACATCCCCACACCCTTTAGTAACAAGTAGACGCATATATCCAAACATCTGTGCTTTCTAGACAAAAGCTATAGTGGATAAAAATATTTGAGGTTTGAGTTCTGTGGTGAAGATCTTTTCTATTGTCATTACTTGCCTACTTTTATCAATAATCATTCTGCATAAAACTGATATTTACTACAACTAATATCTACATACATTTATTATTACGTTTTTATTAAAATAGTTACTTATCTATGATTTCACTGAAGACTCCTGGATGACTTGCAGTGATGCATCATTTCTTCTTTACCCCATAAAAAACAAAAACTACTTCTGAAAAGAGCATGAATTCTGTATTTATCATCTATAAAGTTAGATTATTGGTGTGCATAATCAACCACAGTGTTTTTGTTGTCAAGTAATTGTTAATATATGAAAAATTAAAATATATTGAATATTCCAGTTGAGAATATTACTTCTGCCACTGTCTGAATGAGAGGGGGGAAATGGTAGGGGTGGCCAATGATTGGCTAAGGGTGGCCATGGCCACCCCTGGCCCCCCATCTAGCTCCGCCCCTCTCTCCCACAATGCTTACAATTTGATCACTTTTGTATTTTATTGTTCTTTGTCACTGCTGAGCTGCTGCTAAAAAAAAAGTCAATTTCGGAAAGCTTTATAAACGAAATATTGTTTTACATACACTCTGTGTATGGAAAATGACTATGAAGTTTGTCTAAAGTCTGCTAAGTTTTTGCGCTGATTTACGACACGCCCCAGTTTTATGTAATTTAAATGTGAATTACTGATATGATTAAGCTTTTCAATGGTATTAAAGGTTTTAAATATAAATTCTTTAAGTGGTTAAAAACATAAATCTACCACAAACGTTTTTTGTGTTTCTTACGTGACAGATGTGAGAGGGTGCGGGGGGGGAGGGGGTTAGATAAGTTTCTGGAACCAATCAGAGGAGGGAGAAAACGGTGACGTGCGGTGACGCAAGGACCAGGGGGAGGGGGAGAGTTTAAAGCCTCTGTGCTCCAGTTCCTCCTTCCCAGACAGTGCTCCGTTAGGCCGGGTGGAGGAGGTGCCTCTGTGTTTCATAACCAGCCGGTGGTGGTGCGTCTCCCTCCTTCAAAATGGCAACTATCAGGACTCTCAGGAAGCTGTGCCAGCACGTCCAGCACCAAGTCTGCAGCCTGCACACATCCACCTCCAGGTGAGCCGAGGTGTATCTCCCCGCAGCAACAACCGAGGGGACGTTAAACACATCCCATCACTGCATACTAAGCTGCCGTCGGACATAGAAAATAAAAACTAGATTTGTGTCCTGGGCTCTTCTCCGTGGTGTCTTAGTGCGCCATGGACGAGAATCCCGGTTATTTTACTCATCGGTTTGCTACATTTGATTGAACTAAATGTCCTGTTTGTTACATTGTTGCATGAGGGAGCGCCTCTAGCGGTTCGCCGGTAGCAATGCAGCCTGCTGGCTGGCTGATGAAATCTGGCAGAGTGTTTGCAGTCTGGGGGTCTGAAGGAGGCCAGTTTCAGCTGGGGGTCGAGGTGCTGGCTATCCTACAAGAAAGATCAATGCAGATAAAGGAGAAACAAAGTTTAATCCTTATATTTTATAACTCAAATCTAAAATAAAACAGTGGACAAATTAGTCAAATATTTTGTTTCCTCTAATACATTTATTTATTTTGCTGTAGAAATGCATAAAGACATTAAAATGTCTTTAAATACAACTTTAAGGTAATTGATGAAAATAAAGCCATGTATGCATGCTTTGGTCTAGAGCTGTGAAATATTACCCTTTAAAAATATTCTAATGAAATGTTGTGGTAGGCCTGCTATTGTGATAATGATGATGGTGAGATGAAGAAAATATATATTTATTTATATATATATATATATATATATATATATATATATATATATATATATATATATATATATAGTTTTTTTTTACTTAGATTTTATTGTCATTTTGTTCACAAAATGTATAAAAAGAAATTTCATTCAGTACAGCTCTCAACACATTTCCATTTTTAAAGTGCAGCAGGTTTTTCTACTTAAATCTCTATTAGGCAACTGTATGGCTGTAACAGCATAGCAAAACAATGAAAGCCTGACGATTACAGAATATGCTTTTGGAAAAATATACAAACTTCAAATGGGCTTCATTAAGGTACCAGTAACGAAGTCTGATTTAAACCACTAAACACCCCACAATCATCAAATGTATCCATTAACCAATGAAAAATAACATTTCTGACAATTTTCGGGTGTTTTTAAAAATTGTTTTAATCCATCCTTAAGCCAATATATCAAAAGTTTTATTGTGAGCATATATATATATATTTTTTTTTATGAAAATGATTTCATGAGACAAAAACCCACCCATATTTGGATCCTTTTTTTGCAAATTTAAAATAAAAATAAAAACTTTCTAATTTGCTATTTTAAATATGAACTTCAAAGGTTGTACTTTTAATATTACAGTTCTTTGTTTTTGTGTTTTCAGATAAAAAAAAAAATCATCCTCTTTAAGACAAAGGGAGCACACTATCACTCTATAGAAAGATTAAATATTTGAACAATGTTGTGCACTTTTTATTCCAAATTTACACTTTCTAAATGTGCTTTGTTTTTTATTGTTTTATGAAATATTCAACTTAAACTACTACTGCTACTAATTCTTTGTTGTTGTTTTTTTTTTCTCCCACACTGTTTGTATTTGATCATTGCTGCACTTTAAGTAATGGAAATATCATGAAAGCTATACAAAACGAAATTTCCTTTTGTATAGAAAGTGAAAATGAAAGTAGTCTTAGATACTATTTATAAAATGACCCATGCATGGTTGTAAATACATTGATGCATTTATGCATTCAGTTTTCATTAAACTCAGACACATTTTATAAAAAAATTATTTAGCCCTACAGCTGTGGCGTTTTCTTATTGTGATAGCGTGACAACAGTTCAGCATCGCATGTTAAGACGCGTCACGTTGTCTGCCATCAGTTATGTAACAACGATGGAAAACTTCGCATCCCGTGAGGAAATTTAGTGGGAGCGTGCTGTGTCTAGCCTGACTTTGCATTATCGGCATCTGATGTTACACAGAAGGTGGAAGAAACCAAATCCCATGGGTTCAGCACATGATCTGAATGATCACAAGATGGATAATGTCAAACCAGTGGTGTGCTAGGCACATGTTGCTCCTTAACATCCAGACTTTTCCAAATTAGTAAATGTGGGACCCAAGTGATCTTTTTTATATTAATCACTGAGTAGTGATGGCTTAAGGGTAGAGTTGCATAATATTTACTGGGTCAATTTTATTGGAATATCAGTATGTGCATTATTACAACCATGAATTTAATGTAATAGAAATGTCCTGAATTTCTGCACACTGGGGAAATACATATGAACGATCATGAAAGTGAAAGGGAAGTGGAAGCACAAAGCTTTGTAGTTATTGCAAATCTAAAATATACGAAAATTATGTCTATAGTAGATAAAATGGAATACTAAGATGAAGGAAATGTGCAGCGAAGTAGAAAATAAAATAAACTTACTGAGTTTCTCAGGGCGGTGAACAGCTGTTAAAGGGGAGGATCTGTTATAAAGCTGTATGGAAGCAATGTTTGGTTGGGTATTATATTTCAGGAGTCATGCAATGAGATGCTTCTTTCCAATAATATAGTTGCCCTGCTGGAAAAACTCTCACTGTTCCACATGTAAACATCTGATGTAGATCCTACACATTTTAGAATACTAATGGAAAGTGATCATTGAGATGATGGAAAGAAGAACAGAGGAAAGAAGAATATAGGTTAATCCCTTTAAATGTCATCACTGCAATATTTTGTGCATATTTTTTCCTGAAAATGTGTTTCCCAGATAAGGAACTGGATTAGTAAAAATAAAGTAGAAATCCCAAAGCGGTTCCAAATAATTAACTGATAAAGAAATTTTCATCTTTCATTTATAATTATATCTGAATAAATATCAAAGAAGTTGAGTTAAAATCTACTCTACCATTTGCTGTCCTGCAGTCTCTGCATTTTTCTCTTTTGGTTGTGATACTTTTTCTGATGTTAATTGGTTTTGGCAGACCAACAGAGGTCGTTACATCACTGATGATGGCTCATTACTCTCTAGTTATTATCTATTATGGGTATTGTTATATAATATAGTTGGGAATTGCAGAACTGGGGCAAAGTAGTAGCGTACCAGTAGTTTTAATGATGTATGTGATATCTGGAATGGAATTATGTCAGGGGGAGAGTTGTTGCATCTAATTTTGGAAGCTGGATCTGGTGCATCTCCAAGCTGCATGGCTGAGAGGCTCTACAGGGTTCAGGTGTTAAAAGTCTCAGTTAAATAAAGTCTGCGTCCAAAAAACAAGAAGTTGCTACTGATTAGGTTGTTTACAGCTTAGGTGAAGTGATGCACTCTGCTCAGTTTTCATCGTCTTATTCCTATTTATAGGAAAATAAATACCGGTACTAATAATTTTTTTCCTGTCTTATTTTCTCTGTTAGGGCAGAGGCGGTGGTCATCTCAGGGAGGAAGCTGGCACGTCAGATCCGGGAAGAGACCCGGGCCGATGTGGAGCAGTGGGTCTTAGCCGGAAACAGGAGGCCCCACCTGAGCGTCATTCTAGTCGGAGACAACCCAGCCAGTCACTCCTACGTTCTCAACAAGACTCGGGCTGCAGCCGATGTCGGTAAGCAGGGAAATCCATTGCTCTTCAAAGCCAAATGGTGAATGATTGCAGTCGGCATCTAGCATATTTTGATGCAAAAGCTCTTCGTTGTATGTCAGTATAGTGAATCTTATTAACTCCACCAAGGAGGTTGTTTTTAGGAGAATGGGCGTGTTTGTTTTCCCGTGTACACGATAACTTCAAAAGTTATGGACTGATTTCAATTAATTTTTTACCAGAGGTGCGCCTCATGCAAAAGAGCAATTCATTCAGACTTGGTAATGAGCCAGATCATTTGCAAGTTTTAGCTCTTGGTGGAAGTCACAATTTGTGGCAAAATGTGCTGCATGGTGGAGGTCTGCACACTCTGAGTGCTTTTGTAGTTCATTATCTGCTCATTTGGTAAGTGTTTAAGAACTGCCATTTCCCTGGGGAATGATTACAATGTAACACAGATTTCCATTTCTTTAAACCACCCCTCAATAAGAGAGTAAAGATCATGCCAGTTATTAAGACTGGACTCTATATCCAACAGGCAGACAGTAATTATTTATATCCACAGAGAGTTGTAAATTAAATGCTGTGATATGAGTCTGCGTCGCACTAAGAGGATTAACTGTATTATAAATAAATTCAGCTCAGAGTATAGCATGGACCTGTAAGGCCTGTAGAGACTTTTCTTGCTTCGGACATGGTGGAACCAGTGGGGAATGTTAAACATGAATCCTTCAATACTCTCCTTTACCTAACTTGTTGGTCTTTGTTCTCTCATTTTACTCCCACAGGAATTTCAAGTGAGACAATTCTCAAACACTCAGAGATCAGCGAGGAGGAGTTACTGGACTTAATCTATAAACTCAACACAGACCCTCAAGTAGACGGCCTGCTAGTCCAGCTACCTCTGCCTGGTATGCCATATAAGGCGCATGATGGGAGGAGTCTGATAAGTTTTCCTATTGGCAAAAATAATAAGATATATCTAACACGTCCCTGTTTTAACTCAGAGCACATTGACGAGCGCGCGGTCTGCAACGCGGTGGCTCCAAACAAAGATGTAGACGGCTTCCATGTTGTAAACGTTGGCCGCATGTGCCTGGATCAGTCCACCATGCTTCCCGCAACGCCCTGGGGAGTCTGGGAAATTATCAAACGCACAGGTAGAACTGGCCTCTTATGCCGAACACTGTAAGAATGCTACTTTAGTCAATTAAAAACAATATTTAACTTTTACAACTTGTGTCTTTCAGGTATTCCTACCTTTGGGAAGAATGTTGTTGTTGCTGGACGCTCCAAGAACGTCGGTATGCCCATTGCCATGTTACTGCACACAGACGGCCGTCATGAGAGGCCTGGGGGTGAGTTGTAATATATATATATTTTTATTCTTCTGCTTTGTGTACTAAAAGTCTCAATGAGATACAGTGAGGTTTTAAAATGAAGCATTTCTTTACAAATCAGAGTTATGCATACCTTGTAGGATGAGTTTCATATCCTCTTGTTTTCTGGCCTGCAATAGGTGATGCAACAGTCACTATTTCACACCGTTACACTCCAAAGGAACAGCTTTGCCAGCACACCAGATTAGCAGACATTGTTGTGGCTGCTGCAGGTTTGTCACTGATTGCTTTTCATCTGTAATCTTCCCGTTATCTTGATTTTGAATGTCTTATCTTAACTAACTGTTCTCCACATGGCTGTTAGGGATTCCCAACCTGATCACAGCTGACATGATCAAAGAGGGAGCTGCTGTGATCGATGTCGGAATAAACAGAGTCCATGACCCTGTCACTGGGAAGAGCAGACTGGTTGGAGATGTGGATTTTGAAGGTAGCTGAGAGAACTTTTTTTTTGGCACTGATTCAATGTTGCCTTCATCTTGTTAACTTCCCATTTCTACCCTCTGTCAGGTGTAAAAAAGAAGGCTGGATTCATCACCCCGGTTCCCGGAGGAGTCGGGCCGATGACTGTTGCCATGCTCATGAAGAACACTGTCAAAGCTGCCAAAAGTGTCCTGCAGCTCCATCAGGAGAGGGTCTGTGTGGCTGTTGCATCCTAAAAGGGCCTCACAGCAAAACCGAGCAACAGCAACATTCCTTCCAGCAACACCCGCTTGTTTTCTTATTTGGAGCAGCGCAGTGAGCTCCACTTTGCACACAGAGTGGAAAGATGATCACTTGGAGGCTCTTCCTCCTGAGCATCAAGTTCGGCCGTTTTTAGCCTGTTACACTAACTCATGCAGAGGCATGTGCTTTGTAACAGTATTTATCATTTGCAATGTACGTCTTTGGTGGTTTTAAAGAGAGATTGTTTCTATTTATTGCTACAGAGACAATATTTTACACATAAATGCAGACTTGTGGCAGTCTATGACTCTTGGCAGGAGTGTGTTAAGGGCTATAAGGAGCAAGATTGTTTTTTGAAATACAAGCTTTAAAGATCCACTAATGCCTTGCAAAAAAACTATGAAATAAATATTGCAATTTTCTTGCATTGTTGCTTCTTGTGCATAAACATTTCTATATTGGAGTACATATATTAGACTGTAAAAAGGACTTGAAATGCTGGACATAGCATATTTAAATGGGTAGATGGGCAAACCAACCTTTACAGGGCCTAGCAAAAGCATTCATTTCAAAGAATCAGAAAATCATTAGGATTTTCATGATACGCAAACGATAAATGTTCAACATTAAAGTGGCAGAAATGAACAATTTTAAAATATGAGGTGTGGCGTACTGAGCCCCATAGTTTATCTCTGATTCCCTGCATGACCTCAAGTAGTTCTAGTTCCCTTTGGAAGAAGTAAATGGACTCCAAATGCGTCTCATTAGATCTCTGTATCTGTAAAACTGATCTGTAAAGGCATCAGGGATTTGTTCAGTACATGCTTAAATAAACGGCATCATGAAGACCAAGGAACACAAGTTTGAGAAGTTCAAAGTGGTGTTTGAAGTATTGCCCTTAGAAAACCTCAACAAACCATCTTGAATGCATCACCTGATAGTGGAGAGAAAATGGCTAAGTATCGGATGAATCAAGGAGCAAGCAAGTGGCTCAAGGTAACTCTGAAGGGGATGAGAAGATTCACGGCTCCTTAAGGAGACGCCTCCACAACTCTGGCCTTTATATCAGTATGGCAGGAAGAAATCCTAAGGAAGCTCCATTTGAAATTTGTCACAAGCAATGTAGGAGACATAGAGAAAAGGTCAATGGTCGAAAAGGACTAAACCTTCATGGTGATGAATAGAGACGTCCTTCATTAACCTATACAACTGTTTTCTGTGCCATATTTTTATGACTAAATGTATTTTCATTAGTTATATATTACTACAATGGCTCATATGAAAGGTAACTTGTATAAATGGAGTAAGTTAAATTTAACATTATGGGGAAAAGCAAACACAGTGAAAATGGACATAGACCCTCTAAACTGTTGAACTGTAAAGTTACCTATGTGTATACCAGGGGCAATACTAAGAAGTTACAATACCATTATCCAACACTTTGCTTGCAATGCTGGTAAACCCCATATTAACATTAATCAGCTCTGCCAACCAGGAAAAAAAAGGGGCTTAGCCCTGCCTGATACAGAATATTACAGTATTTCTTTTGAAACGTCCAAACTGGCTGAACATTGGGCAGGGGAAATCAACCTGAATTAGGTTTTAATAGAATGACAGCTTCCCTCACCATTCAGACCAATAGATATTTTTAAAACAGTCAAATAAAGGGAATAAAACAAAAAAATCATGTCTTGAAACTTTCTAAAATCGTATGGCTTGAGGTACATAAATAATACAAGCTTGTTACATATGTGCAAAAATACGACCCCTTGTGGCATAACCCACAAATTAAAATCAATAAACAGACTTTACTGGGCACAGTGGCTAAGAAAATATATTAGAACTGTAGATGATCTACTGGAGGGAGACATTTTATGTCATATGGAAAAAAATGAGTGTTCCTCATCTGTCCCATCTAGTAGAAATTTTTCAGATAGATTTTGAGTCAGTGGATCACCTGACCTGGAACCCATTGAAGAAAGCACATTTTAATTTAAATAAAAATCCTAGAAAATATAAAATTACTTAAAATGAAACAAAAATGAGTGCGTCCTCTTTCCCTTGTAGTAGAACTACTTCAGACAGATTTTGAGTCAATGGGTCACATTACCTGGAACCTACTGAAGAAAAACAATACATTTGAATGGAGAAAATGTTTAACAATATGAAAATGACTTCTAATTAAATTAAAATGTGTGTGCCTCGTTTATGTAATCTAATAGCACGATTAGATTACATACAACAGAGCGCGACTGGCCGGAATCCGATCGACTGTGAGCTGCGGAGCTTGAATATCCAATATTCAACTGCAAACTTCAAGCCCTCCAGCCTTCAGCCAGCCTCCCCGCGGCGGAACTAGGAACCTTTCTTATGTGGAGGCGCGGAATTTAGAGACGAACAAACTTCCGGCCAGCGCTTCCTGCAGCGAAGCCGCTATTACTGTAAACAACTTGTGTTTTCGCGATGAATCGCAGCAGATCGTTAGATAAAGTGACCAGGGAGAAAAAAACAGAGAAAAAGAAACGCAGACGGTCTTCTTCCTCCTCCTCTTCCTCCTCCTCTTCTTCCTCCTCCAGCAGGAGCAGGTCGTCTAAGAAAGCTTCTCATAAGAAGAAGAAGAAGACAGGTTGGAGCTGGCTTGTTCATTGAAAAAAAAAATTATATATATATATATATATATATATATATATATATATATATATATATATATATATATATATATATATATATATATATATATATATATATAAAAAAAAATCGAGTCTCAAGCTTCCTAAGTATATGTTTCTCCTCAGATGGCAAAGAGCAACGAAAGAGGCGGAGGACGCGCTCCTCATCTTCATCATCCAGCACATCTTCATCTTCCTCCTCCTCGAGTGATGAGAAGAGAAAAAAGAAGAAGAGCAAAGCAAGAAAGAAAAAATTGAAGAAGCAGAAGGCAAAGTTAAAGAAACAGAAGAAAAAGGAGAAAAAGAAGCTAAAGAAGGAGAAGAAACAGGAGGCAGAGGCATTGCAGAGTCCTGCAGTCAAACCTTCATCATACCTGGAGCTGATGCAGAATAGAGAGGAGGAGGAGGAAGAAGAGGTGGAGCTCGGACCAGGTGAGACATTCAAGAGACATTGATGAAATATCTGTGATATGTTCTATGAAATACTAAAAGAAGTCAAAAAAAAAAAATTAAACGACAGGAGCAGACTGTTAATATGGAAGTACGTGTCTGTACAGACTAGGGGTGGGTTTTGCTAAATAAGTCACGTTTCGATTCGTATCACGATTCACAGGCCACGATGCGATTCTATCACAATGTATCACGATACTTGAATTATTGCGATGCATTGCAATATTTTGTCCTCCATGTTTTGTTTTTTAATGACTCGGCGCAGTATCCCGCGGCCGGAAATGCTTGTGACACAAGGCAGTGTGCATCAACACATCCGCAGCGACATCTACTGGACTGGAAGTTGTATTACACTTGTTTTTGGCTGATGTTCGCTAACCATACATGCAATTTTATTTATTCATTTTTTTTAAATTAATAATCGATACTTGGCATCAAGAATCGATGCAGTACATCACAAAAATTAGAATCACGATGCATCATCATTACGATTATTTTGCACACCCCTAGTACAGACTGAGCAATACTGGATGGAAAACCTTTGAAAAGCATGGCGGGCAGTCTAAAAACTGATAGAGAACATTAACTAATCTCTGCATTCCTGTAGTGATAGTCTTTAGACAGATGAGTCTAAAACTGAATTCTAAATCCCTTTATTGTCCCACAATGGGGAAATTCACCCTCTGCATTTAACCCATCCCCTTAGGGAGCAGTGGGCTGCAATTGTGCGGCACCCAGGACCAATGAGGGGTTAAGTGTCTTGCTCAGGGAGCCCAGAGCGGAGGCTGTGGGGATCGAACTGCATACTTGCAACCTTCTCAGAGCACAACCACCCTGTTCTATACAATAGGCCAGCACTGTTATTATTATTGGATACCGGAACAGCATGATTGGTGTTAGTATGATTCTTCATTCCAACCAGCATTAGAAGCATCAGAGTGGAATAGTTATGGTTTTAAGGTGCATTGATTCAGCATTATGTTTGCATATTTACAGTTTGCAATATAAGGGATGAAAAAAAAGAATACATTAATTGATAAAGAAATAAAAAAATGAATTAAAACACAAATTCATAAATACATTGTGACATTTATTCTTAATTATGTTAGTTTTGGTCCTCCATTCCAGCTGGACCAGAGGTCTCATTAAAAAGCTTACCAATGTTCCCTAACCCAGGATGATAACCTGATCATTATAAATAAAAATAAATATTAATGAAACCTTCTGAGATTTATGACTACCAAGCATCTTTATCTGACTTTCCACCTCTCACATAAACGCTTCAGTTTTTTTGATCAGATGGTTCATTTAAATACACAATAACATGCATGTGGTGCTTTTCGTCGACCATTTATGGTTGAATGTGGGCAGAAGATGAAGTGTTAGCGGAACATAAAATGCTTGTTTTCCGGCCTGCATAGATCAGGATTAGTATTTATTTATTTTGGCTTGCTCCATTTTTGGGTGTTTTCTGTGTATACACTATTGCTATGGATCCTACACAGTGTTTTATGAATGAGACCTCTGACTGGTCCACCATGAATCAGAGCAGGATTGAGATACATGCTAAAATGGAAAGTTGGCGCCAAATGAAGACGCATAAAACTGCTTTACATGCTGGAAACCTAGCAAATATGCCTAAAGAGAGGAGTGGGTCAACTTTGCCCACTCTTATATTACTAACTATACATGAAGCATCTCACTGATGTCATTATGCAGACAGAGAGGGTGGGACTTGTTGGGGGGTTGTGTGCTCTGACCTTTTTCACACATAATACCCATTTTTGTTTATGTTTTGCTAAATAAAATGTTTTGTTCTCCAGTCATGACTGATGAGCAGAAGGCCCGGCTCGCCACAAAGAGACCTCTAACTAAGGAGGAGTACGAGGCCAGGCAAAGTGTGATCCGCAGGGTGGTGGATCCTGAAACTGGAAGAACCAGGTCTGACACAGAGAGATGTTTAACTGTAACTTAACAACCATGAAATGAAACTCTCCAGTCTTTTGATGTTTGACCTTCTTCCTTCCAGGTTGATGAGAGGAGAAGGAGAGATCATCGAGGAGATAGTGACCAGAGAAAGACACAAAGAGATCAACAAGGTGAGCAGAACATCATTGAGCTGATGTGGAGAGGGTATTGGTGCTGTCAGGTGGATGATAAACATTTCTGTTTTATCCATTAGCAAGCTACAATGGGAGACGGGAATGCCTTCCAGAGGAAACTGGGAATGAACAGATAGAAGATATATAAGCTGCTTCTGTGAATTTTTAAATCATTTGGATTTATTTTAATATGTTGTGAAGATGTTTACATTTGTTTGGACTGTTGACATATGTTTCTTTATCTCACATCACCTTGAAGACAACTGGTATTATAAAACACAATAAATCTGATTTAAATATTCTATTTATGTCTCTTACTTTACACCCATACGGCATCAATTTGTCCTTTTTTAAATGTATACTTATCTTTCTATTCTGTGTGTTTGAGGTTTTGAGATTTTTTGTGTTTAGGGTTTCTAAGTTTTCCACTTTGGATTAATTTTTTATTTTCAACCCTCAGGCCCTGTCCTTATCCTAATGTCTTTGAAGGCAACTAAACTCTGACATATGAATAAATCAGGTAGATATGGGTCCTAACCAGTCTGATTATTGTTCTCATATTATAGGTTTGAAACAGAATTAACAACAGAAACTAAGAGGATCTTTTTTAAAGATGTCCATACTTGAGTTCCTTTTTTTTAGTTAACAGATTATTTGATTCTCTCAAAATAGCTTCCAACTTAAAGGTTTTTCAGCACCATTACTGGTCAGAATGCACCAGAGGGAATTTATTTAAAGTATGATATTTAAAGCCAGAAACTGAACAAATATCTTGTCAAAACAGTATTAAAGGAGAAGTTCGTTTTTTTACACTTTAAGCCCATTTTCTGTAGTGTCCAGGATGAAATCGAATGATCGACACCAAAAGTTTGACAATTGCTCCTGTCTCTGCTTTTTGGCTCATTTAGAATCAACCCCTGGCTGCTTTAGAATGGCTTGCATAGAGCATGTCCGATAATGTCCTTAAAACAACCTTAAACGTTCTTTTTTTAAAATATGCTACTCACCGTGTCGTCAGCGCTGTTCAATGACGTTCCAAAAAAAGTTTCGTGAAGAAAAAACGTTCCTGTAGTGTTTTATTTAGCATTTTGTAAATCCCATTGAGTTCTGTAGGAATAGTCAATATTCCGCTGCCACCGGAAATGGGGCCTGTTTACACAGTTGTAGTCTTTTCGCTTCACTCTGTGTACTCCGACGTCGAGAATCAAGAATCCACCTTTCGTATTCCATTTTCAGAGTTTTTTAAAGTGTTTAACAGAGACGTTAGCACCTCGACGTGAACAGCGCTGACGACCCGGTGAGTAGCATATTTAAAAAAAAGAACGTTTAAGGTTGTTTTAAGGACATTATCGGACATGCTCTATGCAAGCCATTCTAAAGCAGCCAGGGGGTGATTCTAAATGAGCCAAAAAGCAGAGACAGGAGCAATTGTCAAACTTTTGGTGTCGATCATTCGATTTCATCCTGGACACTACAGAAAATGGGCTTAAAGTGTAAAAAACCGAACTTCTCCTTTAACCCTTTCATGCATAGTGGTCACTACAGTGGACAGTTATTAAATGGTTGTTTTCTCTTAAATGAACATGTTTTAATGTCACATTTGCACATATGTTACTACAGTGGACGCTAATGTATCATCCTGCCACTTGTCAAACTGCCACCTACTCCTCAGCCTTTGCAAGTGACTTTTTTTTCCTCAAAAAAAAAACAAAATGGCTGACAGAGGAGCACATGGGTTGTGAGGGAGAGGAATATCTGCTCATTCCTTCTATTCTAGGCGATCCTTGCAGGTAAAAAAAATATGGGGCCATCAAGTAACAATAGTTTTCTTTGAAACAAAACAAAACAAGGTTATATCAGTTGCACAAATGCGCATTGTCCACCCAAGTGGACATGTTACCAACTCCCTAAAGAAAGTATATTTTTTAAAAAAATTTATGAAAATGTTTTTTTCATTCATAAAGAGTAATAAAAACACTTGGTAAAAAAATCATAACATAAACTATCGTAATTCATGCATGAAAGGGTTAAGTATGAAGCATGGAGGTGGCAGCATCATGCTGGTGCTCTGCATACACTGGAGTGACAAGAAAGTACCTCAAAATTCTTCCATTCTAAACAAGATGTGAATCCTGGACCAATGATCCCAATAAATTGTAATTTTTTGTTTTTATTTTGAGAATAGAGGAGCCCAATGCTGGTTATTTTTTGTCTGTTATCCTGAACATGACAAATGAAAGGATTAAAAACAGCAGAACTCCCCAAGAACTACAATTGCTCAAAACTACTTCAAAAAACTGATAATCAGAAGCTAAGTGGTTTTTCTAGATGTTCCCGCAGAACTGAACAGGATTTGATCTGAGGCCACAGCTAAAGCATGTTTACTGTAAAAGATCGAGTTCAAACTAGAGGCAGTAACAAAGTTTAAGCTGCAGTAAACCTGCTTTATTCGACACCTGTTGTAAATTATTTGTGGAATAAATTACACCGATGTGTGATAATTGAAATAAACAAAAGGGCCAACATTTGTTAGTTCTTTATAGTTTCTTTATACACTCTTCATAAAATCACAAGGGAATGAATAGAATGAAATATAATCCTACAAGATCTGCAACCTGTACAATTCTTACATTTCATAAGATTATCTACAGATAAATATATAAACCAGCCCCCCTCAGTGAGGTGGTTAAAGTATTATGCAAGTCGTCATGACTCACTGTGGCAACTCCTGAATATGGGAGCAGCTGAAAGGATACATTTATAAATAGTTGTTAAAAGAGGACTAGGTCTGGACTAAACCAAAAAGATTTCCAGACAGATTGCTTAAAAACTGGATAAATATGTAACATCAGGTATTTATTTAAAGTCATGCCAGTGTGTATCCCATCTGCTGCTGAACATAGTGGCACTAAAATACAGGCTTTCTGCACAACTGGACTCAATCGATGTGGGATATTTTCTTTTTTTAAAGATCAACTATCCTCTGCATCAGCTGACATGTTAAAAACATCAAAATATGTGAGCGAACTGAACAAACTTTTTGTTTTGTTGTATAATTTCAGTTTTAATGAACCTGGGTTCACTGCACCGTGCAGATAACTCACTTCGAATAGATGCCTGTGAAAAAAAAAAAAAAAAAATTTACAACAAAAACCAAGTGTTTCCATAGAAAGAACCCAACCGTAACCATCGACACATTTATTAGGCCAGAGCCTCTTTATTGTGAGAAATCTCCACACATCGCTATCTTGGTGAGCTAAACCCTCTGCAGTTTGCAACTGTTAAATATGAGGGTGGGGGCTGATTGTCAGTGCACTGTGACGTCTGTTTGATCCAGCTGTGCTTCTGAGCAGCATTGCACACTTTCCCTTCCATCTGAATTAATATGGATCCACTGCAGTCAGCGCTGAACGCGCCTGTTACACCGAGCTCCACACTCATTGTCTTTCCTGGTAAAGAGATGTAAAATGCCTTAATATGAATTTATCTTGTACAGCAGCAGCATATTATCACACGAATCCAACCTTTCATGTATATTTAATCGGTAAAGGAAAAAATAAAATAAAACCTTATATGGAGAAATGTGCAAATTCAACACGATTTGGTGTCACCAGGACCGAAATAATAACCTCTTACCTGGTCAGTGCATACTGAGTGAAATCTTTCAAATCCCTCCTATGGTGGGAAACCATTCCTGTGGTGCCTTAAGATATTTTCAACTATTATGCAAAAAGACGCAGATTGAACAGTTTTTTTGTTTTGTTCTTAAGAAGCGGCCCACTGATCATAGACATTAATGCTAAGGGCCTTTGGAAGAAGAAACAGACCCACCGTACCAAAGTTCCTCCACCTTGCCCACCTTACACCTTGATATGAGATCAAACCAAAAGTGTCGAAAAGAAAAATAACTTAAGGAGGTGAATAATGAGTGCTAATAAGGAGTTCTTAGATAAAATGGGTGATTTTGTACCAATCAAATATTGAATTCTTGCCCAACATTAAATAAATATACTGAAATGACAGGTTGGAGTTTTAAAACTTACAGTGTGAGGTTATGCTTCTGCAATAGAGGGTGAAGTTGTACTTTTTGTTTTGTTAAAAGCATCTTTACCAAAGGAGTCAATAACCATGGAGATCAAACACAAGGGATGAGCAATCATATGTAAAATAAAAAAAGGCATGAAAATGTACCAAACTTTATAAACAAACAGCAAGGATTGTAACGCAAGTCTCGGCTCTGCGTTCATCGTTTCCATAACGTATTGTACAGAATTTACATCTGGTGCCTCGTCTTCCAGTAAAGGTGCAGCAGAGAGGGAAACCGTAACGTAGGGAAGAGTAATCAAGAACATTCAACGCCTAATTTACAGCTCAGTAATAATCAGAGCGGGGGAAAAACTCCAAAATTTCCAAAAAATGTCCAATATTTAACATACCTTACAGTATATGACACAAGATAACAGCTCTGATACAACTCCAGTGATCTGCAAGTTGAAATGATTAATACAATACTGTGCAAGGCAAGGATTCCTGCACCTTTGGCTGCTGAAACTCAAGTTTAAAGAGAAAATAGATAACATGGCAAAAAAATAATAATCTCAAAACAACTTTTTGTTCACAAAAAAAAAAAGATAATTTATAACACAGCCATATAATTAAATAACAATGATTATCAATTGTTTCACCCTCATAGTAAAGAAGACACTTTAAACTGGCCTTCAGTGGACCAGATACCAGATCTGCACTGTGATGTAACAATTATGTACAGGCCTCATTCAGGCCTTTAATGATATACTTACAGGATTTATTCCAATGTTAAACACACAGGAGACCCTTATGTGATCCTCTGTGCCTCGATGCAGCGTACGCTTCAACGCTGCTCACTTTGGCACCTTGGCTGTACAGTAGTTTATTCTAAAGTTGGATCAGGTGCAGTAAAAACCCAGCTGGAACCATAACTAAAGGCTCAGTCCGGAGTTTTCTCCTTGTATTGGAGGAAAACTGCCACTTTAAGTCTTGGTTGAATAATTTCTGTTTTGCTTAGATTAATTTTCCTATAAATTGTTGATAGATGATAAACACTGTTTCTTTTTCCTATAAATGGACTCAGTTCAATGTAAATCAAGTGTCAGCTGTTTTTAAACATTTACAACTGAATAGAAGGGTTTATACCAAGATGTCCAACACAGAAAGTTGGTGCCTGTTGCTGGCTTTGGCCGTATCTGTCATCTGCGCTGCTGTAATCAGTGAAGCTGCTTAACTGTGGGACCCTGTTCTCTTTAACAGCCTGTTGGAGGAATTCTGACCTGATATTAGCTGAACAGAAGAAACCTTTTAGGTTCCTAAAGCATTATTTATTCCTGTTTGTGTAACATGTTTCAGACGGAAAAAAAACCAAACAGCTTGCAGTGAAGTCCTTTAGTAGCCGATAAGTGGTCTGTAGCACCAATCCCCCTGTGGTGTTCCAGCCCACTTGGTTCAAACTAGCAGCTTTTTCACTCTTTGCCTTCTTCCGCCATTGAATTCTCATTTGGGGTTGAAAGGGAATGGCTCCAGCTTGGTGCTGCCGCTGCGCCCCCAGCAGCTCGCTGTAATGCTCATGCTGCGCTGCGTTGCTCCCGCGCCCTGGCTATGGGTCCGCTCCAGCCGCTCGCGCTCAAGCCGCTCGCTGTCCGACTGGCTCTGTGTGCGCTCGGGCCTGTTGTGGCCCGTGGGGGAGCTGGGGGCTGGCTGGGAGGAGATGGTGCGCAGCAGGTGGTTTCTTTTCCTAAGGAAGTCGCTGTTTGCGCCCAGGCCGAAGCTTCCCTTGCGCAGAACCATCCGTGCGCTGCTGGTCTTGGCGGGCCGAGCGCGTTGGTTGTATTCCAGCTGGGACAAATGTGCCGCATACCCTTCTGTGATAAACTGCAGAGAGGATCAGGCATTACATAAAACGCATTAATTGGCTGCAGCAGGTGGAGTATTAGATCAGAATCCGACTAAGTGCTACCTGGCACAGGTTCTGCATCTTCTTGGAGGGTCTGCCGACGATGTATATCTGAGATGGAGAAAGGCCGATGGAGGTGTAGACACAGATGTCTTTGGTTGATCCATATCCAGCAAAGATCTTCATGTTAGACTGAAATCAACCCGCAAACAGAAGAGAACAGATTATCTTGGTAAATTACAGAAAATGTCTGTCTAATTTTTTTTTCCTCATGTAAAACGATCACAGTCTTGTATCCACACCCATTATACAACACACAAACTCTGAAGCCATTCCCTGTTTTTTTCTTATTATGAAGAAAAGGGGAAATTAATAAAAAATTCACAGATAAACCCCTGAATAGTGGCATCAAATGAAGGCAGTCCTTTCCCTCTGACACGAAAACATGAGAAAAGGTTCAAAGTCCAAAATTATGACATAAAATGAACTTAAAAAGGAGGGACTTTCCAGATTCTAATTGATACCCAAATAAATATGTAACACCGTCTAACCTCTGTCAGGGTTTTGAGGAAGTTGGCCTTGTGTCTACGAGGGTCATGGACCAATCCGTCACAGAAAGAGACGATGCCGTGTGGGAAGTTGTGCTGAGACAACCAGGCCACCACCCGCTGCTTCTGCATGTCTGGACGTCCCGTTACATAGATGATCAAATAACCTAGATCCTGCCAGTGCCTGCAAAAGATATAAATGACTTTTATTCTTTAATCTAGAGGAAACCTAAAATGAGGCTAGATAGGATGACCCGGCTACCTGACCACGTCCACAGCCCCTGCCCTCACTTTGGGGTCGCTACCCATGATTGACACGCTGGCAGCGAACGACCCGTCGATGCTGAACACTACAAACTCAGTGCCTCGAGGTACGACGGTCAGGTAGCTGTCTGCAAAGGTGTGGTCGCCCCTGGGAAAGGACAAAAAAAAAAACCAAACTAAGAAAATGAAAACCAATATGGTACACACCTCTGGGAAGATGCACCTGACTGGCAGCTCATTAATCACGACACAGAGTCCGTTGGAAAAGGTTACCTGACAACCATTTTTACAGGGTAGACTCCGATGCCTAGGCGCTTGTTCTCAGGGATGGTAAAAGAAACACGGCCGCTGCTCTGAGTCACTTGTGTGTCGAAGTACACCCATTCTCCTGATGGAGGCTGGGTCATGATGTGAAGGTCGACCTGTGCATGATAAAAAAAAAAAAAGCTATTGAAATGAAACAGGTTTCTGACAGCAGGTTGAGTTCTGCCTGATATGCAGGATTACCTTCTCCCCGGCTAGAGTCACCATGTCCAGAGGGCCGTACAAGAAGCGGCCTGTGATGACCTGCTGGCTGTCTTCGGTGAACACAGAGTCGTTCACACGATGGTTGGCAGTCACGTTCTGTCATATGAGTAAAAATAAATATAATTAGGAAGATAAAGTCTCCTTATGCACACACACTTAAACCCCTTGCACTTTTTTCCTATTTTCCCATGTGTCAACCATGTGGGCAAGGAAACACAAAAGAAATAAAAAGAAAACATGGTATGTTTTTTATTTTTTCCATGAAAAATTCTAAGAATTATGCTTTGCCAGCACCAATCACAGCCTTAAGTCTTCTGGATCATTCTAACATGAACATTCCTAAATATTAACCATTCTAATGTACCCCTGGCTCTGCAGCACCTAGCAGGTTTTCTTCAAATGTTGTCCTTTATCTATATTCCCATCATCTCAGCCCCTGCTGAGGAAAATAATCTCCACAGCATGATGCTTCTACTACCATGCTTCACTCTGGGCATAATGCCTTGAGTCTGCTGTTCAATCTTTGTTTTCCTTCACGGTGTTTAACGCTTAGAACCAAAAAGTTTAATTGCTCTTCTCAGCTTTCCAGATCCCTCATCCTAAATGTTTGCTGTTTGAATTTTTCTGCTGTGAGACAACTTGAAAATGTTTTCTTGATCTCAGACCCACCCTGATCTTGACGTGAGTCCTCTTGCGGAGCCACTTTTCCCGGGGTTTAGAAGGAGTAAATTCAGACACTTCTTTCCCGTCCAGCTCCAGGATGCTTGAATTTTCATGCCTCATAACCTAAAAGCGGAGATTTATTAGTTCATCCTCTGAATCTCTAAAATGGCAGGTTCAGTTTAACGACAGAATAAATAAATAAAAAAAAAATTTAAGTCCACTGACCTGTCTCAGGAGGAAAGACACAACATCTGTGGATTCCCAGTAGGAAGCATGGAAGAGGTGTGGTAAAGCCACTGTTGGAAAGGCGGTCAGAGCATCGGGGCAGTACAGAGCAAAGTCCAGACGCTTTGTGCCCCACCAACGTGCTGCAACTGCAAAGGGGGAGGAGTTGAATATGGCAGAGGTACAGGAGAGGAAACTTAAGGAGAATGTGATCACAGCAGTGCAAAACCCTTGAAACCCAATTAATCAAAAAAGTAGAAGCAATCTTTTCAAAAAGAAAAAAAAAAACAACGGCTTCACCTCTTCAGCTGCAGAAGAGAAAGAAAGGTGTTTATAATTATTGTAGTCAAAGAAATCATGCGCTGCATCAAACGTAGAGAGGTGGTTAGAAATAATGACCAAGTGTTTATCATGTTAGCAAGGTTTTAATAAAGAGGAAAGTGCTAAATTTAAGTCTGAACATTGATCCCAGTAAGTTTCAGTGATTGCTTTGAGTCCTTGAGAAGACCATTTGGAAAGAATCCCGGAGGTGAGGAAGGGGGGGAAATACTTTCTGCAGGAGCAGCATGGAGCTTTTGGACAGTGCAGAACACCCTTGCTGTGATTTTCCCCAACTTCAGAAAAAAATACCTTGATCAACTTCAGCTTGGGAGTCCAGTGACACAAGATCACATATAGCACAGTCCAGGCCAGGCGACAGCCTGTCCCTGTAATCTGAGGTGAAACTTAGACATTCGCTTGAGTCTGTCTCAACATCCTGGTCCGGACCCGGGTCTTCGTCAGGAGGTCCTGCAGCTGGATCAGCCTCAGCTTTTTTATGGGACTTTGGTGGATTTTTCGGCTTGAATTTGTTTATGGGTGTTAGGGCAAGTTGGGACAACAGACTGAGCCTACTGGGTTGGTTAATCTGCTCTGATTTGGCTACATAAGGGGAAAAAAAAACAACAGGAAAACGTGTGATAAAATGGATGCATATATAACAGAATAACAGTTTAAAGAGTAAAAGAAGAGTTATATTTATTAGAAATGTGTTTTTGACTTCTCAGCAGAGAGACTGGTTAGTAAAAGGTAAAAGTATCATAGCAAAAAGTGTGTTAAGTCAACATTTATATTTTTTCCAAATAAGGATCTAGACCGTCATACATTCTGAGGTGAAATAAAGAAATATATAAAAAAAACAGGAACAAAAGTAAAGAAAATAGAAGGTAAGGGGAGGACAGGCTTTAGTAAACAATTAAACAAAGAGAAACATCGCTGATCATCTCAGCAAACAGTGCAGTAGGAGTAGACTTGTGGAAATGGCTTGGGAGGGAGACTGGTGTCCACATGCACTGAAACATCAGATAAATGCAGCACTAGGTCATTGCATTTACATTTAGACAGTGGATTAAAGAAAGACAGACAGTGAAAAGTGGCACTACGTTTTCTCCTCTGCAGGACTCTGATCTTACTGGCACTTCGCTTGTTGCAGGAAATTAACGGATCAGGATGAGCTGCTCATAAGACAAGTCTGACAAAGCAGACGTACAGTAGGTGGAGTATTTGTGTTGCAGTGCCTTGCAAAGAGTATCGATGTCCATTAATCTTTTCCACATTGTATCCTGCTCCAACCATGTTTATAGGGGGATTTTAGTGATGGACCCACGAAGTTGTGCACAATTGTTAGGATGGATAAAGAGCATTAGATTTTAGCTCTGGGCTATGACTGGACCTTTCTAAGACATCTATATATCTATATATATGTGTGTGTGTGTTTTCATCTATATCCCTCACACTATTAGTTTTCCAAAACAGACAGGCCTTTGCACATAGGACAAAAAGCTTCATTTTTCTTCTGATCTGACCAGAGCACCATGTCCTCCAGGTTTAAATGTTTGCTGGGTCAGCTGTGTGGCATGCAGAAAACTTCAAACAGGAACTTTTGCTTCATATAGGTGTCAACATAAATCATGACTAAACCAAACTGTTTTTTTTCTTTATCACACATACAACCCTTTAAGGGCATCAGCACCTATGCAGCTAAAAATATAGAGAAAGAGGGGCATTGAGGTGAGCGATGTGTTTTTTCCTCTAAATACATCCTTTTACCTGAGCTATGGAAGTCTGCAACTCCTTTGGAGATACCAGGGATCTCTTAGTTGATGATTAAAGCTCTCTTTGCCTGGTGTCTGAGAATCTCTAAGAAGGTTTTGAGATGTGCTATGCACTTTTCCAGATTACGCACCATTAACAGTGCTCTGAGAGAGTTTAGAAGGCTGGGCTGCTGTCCGTCAAGAGTAAAAGGTTGATCTGTTCTGTTTCTTCTTTCACAATTATGCACAACTTTGCTTCTCTCACAAAATGTGGATAAAACATTAAAATTGGCACCATAAATACTTTTGCAAGGAGCTGTCTTTGGCTGATTAGATTGCTCCAGATGGAGTGTAGGGTGTGTGTAGAGTCAGAGTACCGGTTGGTTGAGAGTATGAGAATGTGGGAGAGTTGGAAAGAGAATCTAGGTGTACAGAAATAGAGAAAAGTTGGCCTAAAGCCGAGAAAAGGTGGGAAACTAACGAGACTCGTGTTTGTGTGAGTGGAAGAGAGAGAGAGAAAGAGAGACCGGTCAATGTTCAGAACACTTACTGTTGGCTATGCTGGTGGCAGTGAAACTGTCTGCCATTCCTGAGACCTGGCTGGCAATGCTGATCTCACTGGCCCTCCGTTGGCCCCGGGAGACGGGGCCCATTATGGGAGATGAAGGGTACGAACTGTCCATGAAGACACCACCATGAGACTGAACAACATCCGCTATTGAGCCCAAACAAGGAGATCCCATTAGACAGAGACACACAGGTAAGGTGGGTAACTCACAGTGACTGGGTGAGAGGCGAGAAATGAGGCCCCACAAGTACAGTAGGGGGGTGGGGTGTGTGAAAAACCAAATGAACATGCTAGCTGCGGTCAGATTTATTCAACTGACTGACATGTAAATATACCATCAAACACCTATAACAATTAAAGCTGGAGTATAAGCTTGAAACTATATATAAGGTCAATTATTTGGAGAAATGGGGCTGGAGATTTTATAAGATCAGACAATCGCCAAAAGAAAACACAAGACTCAGTTTATCAAAAATATAGATACTAAGCTTCACGTTTAGCCAACAAAGCAGCACAACAATGGGTTAAAATGACTCCCAAAGCAGAAGTTTCCACTTGTCAACATCACGAAACCCAAAATCATAGAAACGATACAGAATACACTTGGTGGTAGCAGCACAGCACAAACCAGAAATCCTGCACCCTCAATACACACGACAGCAGAGGGAGACACACTACAACAGATGCTCAGCAGGTTCGTTTCCATGAGTATTTCCATCGCTTAAAATATCGATATGTTGGGATTTTGGTTTAAAACATACAAAACAAAAAAACCTCTTTAAAAAAAAGTGATATCTGTTCAAGCAACCAACAGAAGTTATCATCAGGAATTTCATTATAATTTTAAGCACATCAAAGCAGCTTTTATTACTTTTTTTATACCGTAGAATGTTAGGTCAAGTAATATCGGGAGCTGGCGGCCTAGTGGTTAGGACATATAGCTTGGAATCCTGAGGTTCTGAGTTCAAGCCCCACTCCCACAGACTGCCACTCTGGGTCTCTGAGCAAGACCCTTAACCCCCCACTGCTCCCCGGGTGCCCCAAGATGGCAGCTCACTGCTCCCCATGGGGACGGGTTAAATGCAGATGTAAATTGTCAATGAAATGGGGAACAAAAGTCAACAAAAGGATAAAAAACAGCTAACCCATGTAAAAGTTACACAAACTTAACAGAAGCAGTGTTTCTATTAAAATGAAAATACCAGAAAATAAAGAATCTGGTTGATGAAATCTAATATGTGTTTTTTGGCCGATATCTGATATTAATACTAACTGGGACATCCCTAATTTAACCGGGGTGCAAAAGTTTTAACTAAATATGGATTTTCTCCCAAACAGTCAAACTAACGTATATAGGCTCAAATATATTGATACAGCTCCCACGCTAATTGAGGAAAATGTGTCTTAGTGACTTACAGAGAATCCACAAACATTTTGCAGCCGTAAAGAAAGGCGAAAATATGGATATTTCACCTGTTCATCACAAAAGCTAATACTCTATTGGCTCATCATGGCATCATTTCCACCAATAGTTTTCTTATCTTTTACTCTTGGAAACAACAGCGATGGAAATACTCAGAGAATATATAAAAAATATGCCAAACCAGTCTGATCTCTTAGGCACACAACAGGAAAATAAAAAAGAGAAGCAAGCCACAAATGGAGGGAGTGAATGAACAAGGATGGAGGAAACATGGAGGTGAACGGGAGATGCTACACACACTCAAAGGTGGTGGGTGTTGCTCTCAGGGAGCTGTCCTGCCAGTTTAGCACGGGAACAGGAATGCAGGTCTCACTGATGGTCTCCTGACAGCGGAAGGACAGGGGGGGCCCGCTATCAAGTAGCAGCTGAGCGTTGCTCTGGACTGTCTCCACTACAGAGGGAGTTGGAGGAGTGGGTGGAAGGGAGGAAGGGGGGAGGCAGAGGTCAGGGGTTGGTTTATAGGTGTGCGGATATGGGGACAGGAGACCGAGAGAGAGAGGAGTAAGGAAAAAAAAGACAAGGAAGACACAAAAACATATGAAGCAAGAACATGAAACGAGAAAGAGGTCAGGACCTCTGGACCAAAACTGTTTCCCAGCAGGAATGGCAAATTTCAAACACTTAAGAATGCAAACTGAACCCAAGAGGATGGACCATACTGCTCTTTCTTTCAGAGAGTGTTAATAGATAGATAATGCTAATACAGATGCACTTACTGCTCAGGTTCACCCAGAGCAGTCTGGGTTAGGTTTAAAAAAAAAAAAAAAAGACATTGTGAAGAAAAATAAATAAAAATTGTTCATCAACCAATGCTGCCTGCCTTCAAAGAAGAAAAACGGCACAATTTACTTTATACATCAGGTCAATAATGAATAAAGACCTGAGGCTGTTTTCAACAGAAACCTTTCAAAGCAAAAAAGGTAAAAACTGATGGACTCGGAGGATTTTATGGGGAGAAATATATCCAATTAAAGCAGGGAAATTATACACCTTTTTTTCTGATTTTAATACATTTTGGTAAAAGGCTGTTAAATAAAATAAAACTGAAAAGGTGAAAAGAAGTAAAGATGTTCTAAATGTCTTTTTTTAAGTGTCTCTGTATCTTAGTTTGGGAGAAAAACATCCAGCTTTCAGGCGTACGTTTGCAACCTGCAGGCAAATGATAGCATAAAAAACAGGTGGTTGAAGAGCTAAGGATTACTTTATTAAATTTAATGTTCCAAAAGAGACAACAAGCATGACATTGACCGTTTTTAGATAAATAACAGAAGACAACCAGTAGAAAAAGGATTTACTTTGCTCTTTCACTTGCTGGCTTTTGCCTTCATACGTCACTCCTAAGTGTAACTCACCCAGTAAGGTCGAGTTTCCGTCTCCCAGGGGGAAGCGTTGGTAACGGGGGACACTAAAGGGGGGGAGGAGGTGAAATTTCCTCTCCAATAGAGGCTCCAGGCGGGAGGCAGAGGGATCAGCTGGGTGGAACAAGTTATAGACCTGCTGACAGGCCGGCCTCAGCTGGGCCACTAGAGGGGGAAATCAAACCAAAGATATGGGGAATGAGATCAAAGGAACAAGATAAATAATTAAGGCATTTTTAATAAAACATTTTAAATTTAAGAAATTCCAAAACACATTTAAAACCACTGCCTTTCGTTTTATGGAAAAGCTCACCATCCAGCATAGGGATTACAGTTTTCCTCAAAGCCAGCACCAAGCCCAAGGGAGACCCAAAGAGGAAAACGTCCGCCACTTCAAAGTCGAACTTCCCCAGGGAGCTTCCGTCCAGCATGGTGCTGCTGCTGGACCTGCGGGACACTGCGTCATTCCGAAGGACGCTAGAGTGCAAGCTTAAAACAAACCACAGCTGTTAGTCCTTTTGTACCTTCATCTTTTTTCATCTTATTAACGCTCCACAAAGGGTCAACACTGAGACACTGCATTCAGTACTAATTTTGCATGGTATGGATACTGATAACAAATGTTCATTTTAGATTTTATTACCATTTGCACATTAAAAGGAGAACACTTTAGACAACCTTAAAGTATTGTCAAATTTAGCATTAAAATTTAGATTATTTGTTTTGCATTTATTTACATGCTTACTTAACTAGCATCTGGCTGGTTAACCAAGAGCGTTTTTCATTTCAACAAAAATATTTTTTATGTCTCTACTTATCTTAAAAATTCTGTTTTTTCATCTCACTGTATCGGAAATTGAAATGGAGTATTTCTTGGGTATCGATATTAAATTTGACATTTTTACTATTGTGACAACCATTTTATAAAGATATGAAAAAAAAGGATATAAAGAGATTCTAACAGATCAACACAAAGTAATGCTTGATATTAAGGGGTGTTAAGTATGACACAAAACGTTCCTTTAGGAAAGACTGTTAAAAAAAAAAGCCATTGCTGATAGAAAACCTACGAGTTCATGTTGCAGATTTTGCCAGCAGCCATGTATGGAAAATAGAGGACATTCTGATAAGATACATTTTTTTTCACCTTTCTGATTGATGGAAAACAAGGAATGCATCCCCCTGATTATTTCACCTTCCCTGTGAATCATGATGGAGGCAGCTTCTCGCTGAGAAGGACGATTTTCTTCAACAGGAACAGGGAAGTTGCTTGGAGTTGATGGGAAGGAGGAATCTTTTTAATGTAAAACGGGACAATTCTTGAAGAAAACCTATATGAGGCAGCAAAATGCTTGGGATGGAGGTCAAAATTTGAACTCTAGGAAAGCGGCAAGAAACTAACAGCCAGGGCTATAATGGAATGGTTAAGCTTATCTATGTGTTTGAATGGGCCTGAGTCCAGAGCCCGGTCTACATATGAATCTATGGCAAGACCGAAAGATAGAGGATCCACGTTCTTTCTGTTGTACAGGGATGAAAATATAATACATGGACATATGGCAAAAGACAAACAGCTCTAACTTTTACCAAGCAGTGACCCAGGAGGGCTCAGCACATGTTCCAGACTTTTAGGGAGAAATAGATATTCTATCTCCTTCATATAATTGTACTGGCCTGAAATATAAGATGATATTAAAGATAAAGTAAAGGAAGGGAATTAATTTGAAATGAATGTAAAAGCTTAGAGGGAATTAATACTTTTTTCAAAGCAGTACTACCACAACGTGTACAGTATATGCAGTACTGGCGCCCCCCAGGGGCGTGTTTTTTTAACAGTCCTCTCCACACATAGGACCATGCTGCCTGTCCTCACCAACCTCAACAACACAATGGCTGCTGTGAATTACTGCCTTTTCCAAGCTTTGCGGTGTAAGGTTTGTCCACAAAACAGGACAGCTCCAATGAGCTTCAATGAGGTCTGCAGAGAAGATCATCTCGGCCAATATTATCTCCATCCAGAACTTGTGCAGGTTTAAGTTCGGGAAAAGGGGCCAGGAAACATTTCTGTTGATCCCACATAAACTGTTCAGGCTTTTTACCCTCAGGTTGGCACCGCAGAGCACCGTGTTGTAACAACTTGTCTCTCCCATGAACACCCAGATCTAAACCAGGCATATCTGGATTCCTTCAACCACCTCCTCCTCATTTGTAGAAACATGTATGCACACATATTTACAATTCAATGTCCATAAAACATCTTCAATGAGAGCAAAGAGGAACCAGAGTGAAGTTCCTTGTTTGTGTGTGCAAACTTATGATTAAAACTTATTCTGATGATTGTCAAGAGATCCATGCTTTTGCTCTGGTATGTATTAATGTCATCACTCACCTTGACAAAAAAGCTTGGTGCTGTTTAATTGTGTCCATCTCGTAGGTGGAGGAGTCACTTCTCTTGCGTGGCAGCTGCCTCTTGGTCTCATCGCTTGAAGTGGCACGAGGAATATCAATGTTACTGCGACTGAGGTGGCGGCTGCCCTCCAGGGTTGGAGAAGAGGATCCATGTCCACTGTTGACAATGATCCCTGGAGAGAGAAGGTCTTGGTCCTACATGAGCAAAGATAACAAATATTCCTTTAAAAAAAAAAACTGTATCATAATGGCCAGTTTAGGATGTTAATGCTTCCTTACCTGCACGCTGATGACACTGCCCCTGCGGCTGCTGTTCTGGCTTTCATTTACGGCAGGGGAGCTGTGACAGAGAGCATCAAATCCCAATATTCCTCCCACGCAGTCCCCAATGAGACAAACCTGGAAAGAGAAGTAAAAATGAAAGCGTAACAATAGTTGTATGTAATTTAAACATCATTCTTCTTAAAAAGTTTTAACAGGAGTCATCTTTATCTATATCCATGATACGTTTGAGGAGAGACCATCAACATAAGTAATTTTGTCAGAAATTTTGATTCCAGCCTATGATTAACTGAAGGATGAATCATCTCTGAAGTCATTATATATATATATATATATATATATATATATATATCTTTAACTCTTCATTTCTAAGCAGCGAATCACATGGCGGCAACTCAGTGCATTTAGGCATGTAGACATGGTTTAAGACAATCTCCTGCAGTTCAAACCGAGCATCAGTATGGGGAAGAAAGGTGATTTGAGTGACTTTGAACGTGGCATGATTGTTGGTGCCAGAAGGGCTGGTCTGAGTATTTCAGAAACTGCTGATCTACTGGGATTTTCACGCACAACCATCTCTAGGGTTTACAGAGAATGGTCCGAAAAAGAAAAAACATCCAGTGAGCGGCAGTTCTGTGGGCGGAAATGCCTTGTTGATGCCAGAGGTCAGAGGAGAATGGCCAGACTGGTTCGAGCTGATAGAAGGGCAACAGTGACTCAAATAACCACCCGTTACAACCAAGGTGGGCAGAAGAGCATCTCTGAACGCACAGTACGTCGAACTTTGAGGCAGATGGGCAACAGCAGCAGAAGACCACACCGGGTACCACTCCTTTCAGCTAAGAACAGGAAACTGAGGCTACAATTTGCACAAGCTCATCGAAATTGGACAATAGAAGATTGGAAAAACGTTGCCTGGTCTGATGAGTCTCGATTTCTGCTGCAACATTCGGATGGTAGGGTCAGAATTTGGCGTCTACAACATGAAAGCATGGATCCATCCTGCCTTGTATCAACGGTTCAGGCTGGTGGTGGTGGTGTCATGGTGTGGGGAATATTTTCTTGGCACTCTTTGGGCCCCTTGGTACCAATTGAGCATCGTTGCAACGCCACAGCCTACCTGAGTATTGTTGCTGACCATGTCCATCCCTTTATGACCACAATATACCCAACTTCTGATGGCTACTTTCAGCAGGATAATGCGCCATGTCATAAAGCTGGAATCATCTCAGACTGGTTTCTTGAACATGACGATGAGTTCACTGTACTCAAATGGCCTCCACAGTCACCAGATCTCAATCCAATAGAGCATCTTTGGGATGTGGTGGAACGGGAGATTCGCATCATGGATGTGCAGCCGGCAAATCTGCGGCAACTGTGTGATGCCATCATGTCAATATGGACCAAACTCCCTGAGGAATGCTTCCAGCACCTTGTTGAATCTATGCCACGAAGAATTGAGGCAGTTGAAGGCAAAAGGGGGTCCAACCCGTTACTAGCATGGGGTACCTAATAAAGTGGCCTGTGAGTGTGTGTGTATATATATATATATATATATATATATATAGGGAAAAAAGAAAGTATTTGAAACGTTTCCTTTCCAGTAAGACGACAGCACTAAACACGCAGCCAGAGAACAATTGTTTAAATTGGAAAATAAAAGCATTTTCACATGTTAGCATGACAGAATCTACCCCCAGACTCAGAAACAACTCAGAATCTGTAGATGAAGACTCAGATTGAACCAGTTAATAAAGAAAAATGGGCACAAATTTCACTCTAGTGGTGCAAATACATACTATTAAGGCCTTACAGTAGAAAATGCAGCAAAGTATTGACATGTCATGCTCCTTTTTTATTTTTACTAAAAAAAAAAAAATACAGTATGCACGATACATAAAATAAATTCCAATAAATCACATTAAAGTTTGTGGCTATAAAATGAGTCTATGAAAACCTTAAAAGGCCTCCTGCTATAAGAACCCAGTTTCTGACACAATAGCAGCATGGATGCCAGAGATGGGGGATCTGGAGGCAACAGGTCATCTCCGTGTCATGTGTTTGGTCTGCCCAGTCACTGAACCAGGTGAGTCCAATCAGAGTGAATTAACCTGTGCAGATTGGACTCACCTACTTCAGTGGCTGGGCAGAACAAAAATAACAGAAATGACTTGTTGACTCCAGATCCCCCATCTCTGGTGGATGCTGTTACAAACATCACCTGACCTGGCCAGTGAAGGCTGCTCCACCCAGAGACTTGATGAAGTCAGCATACACCTGGTTGGCACGGACAATGACAGTGGCCACAGCATCCTGGTACTGTGGAGATGAGGTGGCCAGCAGAGGCAGCGCAGCCAGTGGGATGTGGTCCTGGCTGCTGGACAGACAGCCCTCATCATAGCTATAAGGGCTCAGGCTGCAGCAGAATGCAATAACAAAGAAAATAAAAGGAGAAGCAAAAGTAAATAAATCAGAGGAGATGGCATGAAGCATGATCTGCAATTTTATACCAGGTACACAGCCGCCAGAGACAACAAACACAAACCCTCAGTAAAAACGCCCACATCCAGCCTGCAGAAATAAATTTGTTCACAGGGTTCTTCTTACTTAGAGACTAGAGAGAAGGCCTCGGCACAGATGGCAGGGCAGGGCACCAAGCGGATGGCGATGTGTCCCAGCGCAGCAGGGTAGTGAACACGCATGACTGTGTCAAAAGCTGTACTGATGGTGTTGACGTCGGCCTGCTTGCTGTTCTGGTCTCCTCCGCCCGTATCCAGGATGTTCCCTCCATGCAGAACCAGAATCAGTACGTGGATCTTGGAAGGCTGAAGGCACTGCTGAGACGAGCTCTCCTGAGGGATGGGAGAGTTGTTATAAAGGTGATGAATAGGGAATGTTTGGAGAGATTGTTTAGTTTACTATCATGACCAAAGACAGAGGGCTTCCTTTGGCTACTAAAAAAACTTTCCCTCACTAATTTCCGTCGACATTCTTAGCAAGGCTGTCCAAACATATACCACAGAACAGACTTCTGTTTACAACCATAGAGGGGCAGAGGACCATGAGAGGGGGGAGACAGAGCGAGCCACCCTCCACCTGTATGACGACAATCATGCTTCTGGAGAATGTCACAATAAACTGCATGGAGTAATGTGTAGTTTTGTCTTCTGTGTTCGATCCAAAACTTCACATTGTCAGAGAACCACCAGAAACGTACACTCAATGCCACAACTGCAAGTACAAGCGAGTTCAACAAAGGGTGCTGGGGTCGAGGGGCACACATGGATCGGGTTTGGTCAATGGCGACGGAGAGGAAAAAAGGGGTGGGCAGTCAGTACTGGGTGGGTGTGGGCCTTCCTGTGGGACTTATTCTGCGCCAAAGTGCTATGGGGCTAAAATGTTTACTTACTGACTGGTGCCTTGTTACCGTGATGGTGGGAATGGGAGAGCTATCGGCTTGACCACTAAGAGAGTCACGCATCTGAACACAAGAGGACAGAAAGGCTCAGGGATCAACAGCCTTTCCCTTATCCTCCAAAGAGTAAAGTCTCATAAACCCAGATAAGCTAAAGGTAATTGCATTTTATTTTTTAGGCTACGAACGAGACCAACTTTAGAGCAGGATGTCAGTTGTGAGATTTTCCTTCCATTTTTGCCATTGTTTTTTTAAGAAAGTTCAATTTTTGACACAGAGCAACATCTGAAGAAACTGGTTAGGTCTGGTTTTTTCAACATGTGGACAAACTTACCTCATCCAGCCTCTCCTCACTCGCTGCTCTTTCATAATCAACGCTCATTTCCTTAAAGCTCTCTGAAAACACATCATTATCACACAGTTAAGCCAGAGAAGAGTTACTGTTGGGAAGGAAGAGTCTGTCAGTGCAGTTCTTCTTACCAGCCATTTCCTCTGTGTCTGCAGCTTCGATCTTGTCTATGAGGTCGTTGGAGTTCCATTTGGCGATTTCCTTTGGGAAAACCTCCTCACCATCTGAGAGATCCTCTAAACATGCACAATAAAAACAGAAAATAATTAGGATTAGGTGATAGAAAAGGATTAGGTGATAAAAAAATGCAACTCTAAGGGTAATTTTTACAAATCAGCATTTGTCTCTCTCTCTCAATACCATATCGTAGTTAAATATGTATAAATAAATATATACATTTAGGACTCATTCTTAGGGGTAAGTTATATGAACAGAATCCTATTACTACATTTTTTCTGCAGTATATACGTCTATCTATTTTCCATCACGCTTTATCCCTACTGGTCCCTATCTCCAGCTGTCTACAGGAAAAAGGCAGGGTACACCATGGACAGGTCGCCAGTCCATTGCAGGGTAACACAGAGACAAACAGGACAAACAACCTATCACGCACACACTCACACCTAAGGAGAATTTAGAGAAGCCAATTAACCTAACAGTCATGTTTTTGGACTATGGGAGGATAACGGTGTACCTGGAGAGAACCCACGCATGATCAGGGAGAACATGCAAACTCCGTGCAGAAAGACGACGGGCGAGAATTGAACCTGGAAACTTCTTGCTGGAAGGCAGCAGTGCTACCCACTCCTCCACTGAGCAGCCCACAGTAAATAAAAAACGTGTTTAATATTTTTTTTTTATTTAAAAATGTATTTCTAAAAAAAACTTGTTGCCACATTTCTGTTGCTACATATAATCACAGGCCCATAAGCGTAAGTAGTGCTCTACAAATGCAGCTAGATTTTTATCAAATTGGTGAGAAGTGCAAGTGTTCGGCTTAAAGAAAGAGTAAAAGTCTGTAGTTCAGGTCTGTGTTAAACCACTGCTGTCCAAAAAACAAAACATTTTTTCACTAGAAATTTTTATGTGCTTCATGCAAGCAGATTATATCGATATTGGCATAAAGAAGAAAACTGATGTAAAAATATGTGAAGAAAAATTTTCAATTTATGCATTATCAGCGTATTTTCAACAGTAACATCACAACATTTGTGGTTTAAGGTCTTGGGTACAAATTAGGGGGGAGCACCAATTGCAGTTTTCGACTGTTTGCAAAAAGCCTGTCATGCCAATGCAGACTTTGAAGGAAATCTACTTTTTTAATAACTTACCCCGTCAGGAGTTATGGGGTTACAATTCACCTGCAATGTTTTAATCTTATTTTACTTAAAACCGTCAAACAATACATAAGAGACAATAGAAATTTGCTTTAGCTGCACATGAGGCGGTGCTCTCAAATATAAAGTTTAGCTTTTTGAGTGTGGCTTTTTTAGACATTTGTAAAGGTAAATAAGATCAATAGATAAGACCTGTTTTATATGTAAGCATTGGTTGATCACAACAACCCAGAAGTAATTAAACCAGGCCCGATCCAGTTTGTGCACCCCTTAATCCGAACAGGTTAATCTATGGGCACAAAATGGAAGTAAGAATGGGAGAAGATGGTTATGTATTGCCCTCAGTTAGCGTTTAAAAAATGTGTTATCACCCCTAAAGTGCATACCACTTTCTTTCAGAGGTTCTCCTCCTTGACCTTTTCTTATCACATTTGATAAAAAAATGCAATAAAATGTAGGGAACACTTTAAACGTTACCTTTAACCACTTTATTTGAAGCACCACTCACTGCAAGGGCTATAAAATGCATGTCAGGACAAGTATTGTTAAGAGAGAAGAATTATATTTGCAATCTCTCTCATGTCAAGAGGATATATATATACACACACACACACACTATGTATATATATAAAACATAAACATACACACACGTATATATACACATACACACACTTACAGGTAAGAATGAAGATTTGAAAAGGAAAACAAATGTAATCCCATAACTTACCCTTATAAATGTATATCTGTAATCTCATTTTATAACAATGAAAATTAACATAGAAAAGACCTCACTACCATAGCAAGCTAACAATGTAGAAAATCTATTCAAGAAAACCATTAATTCCAGAAAACCCACAGATGTTGGAGATCAACTGATAGTTTTATTAATAAATTTAAGAAAGTATTTTCAAGTGTGCAAAAACAATCAGAGAGACAATATTTCTAAAAACAATCTGAGACAAAAATGGATTTTCACAGATGCAACACATTTGAGATGACTTCATGTGCAGGATCTTCTACGTAAATAATGTCAAAAACTCTTGTGTTGAAAACTTCTTGCATCATTCTGCATAATAAACATGGTCCTCCTTTCACATTTTCATTGCTAAGCTCCTCTTTTCCTGATTTCACATTTTCAGATAGTATTTCTAGAAGTTTCTTTATAACAATCTGGACTTTTGAGTAAAAAAATAAATAAATATAAATATATATATATATATATATATATATATATATATATATATATATATACTTAAAACCTGCCTCTATTTAAAACAATTAAAATTCCTTCAAATATGGGGACGCACACATTTTACAGGTTTTCAATATCTTAACTAAAATACATAAGTTCTATTTTAAAATGTATAATACATTAACATGTGAAATCAGAACTTTATTTTCTTTATAATAAAAGCAGATGTTTTTAAAAGCAGTTTGCAAACATTAAAAATCTTCATTGTGTTCATAAATATTCCTAAAATGGTGATTTTTAGTGCTGTGGGTGTTTATGTCTAATAGGGCCAATTTAAAACCGTCCAGTCTGGCCAGAAAGAGGAACCTCAGAGACTGAGTCTGATCGCAGAGCGAGGTCAGAATGGGCTGAGGTGCACAGAGGACAGTGGCCACAACATATTTGGAGGTTATACAGGTGCTGGTCATAAAATTAGAATATCATGAAAAAGTAGATTGATTTCAGTAATTCCATTTAAAAAGTGAAACTTGTATATTATATTCATACATTACATACAAACTCATATATTTCAGATGTTTATTTTGTTTAATTTTGATGATTACAAATGACAACAAATGAAAATCTCAAATTCATCATATCAGAAAATTAGAATATTACTGAAGACCAATAAAAACAAAGGATTTATAGAAATGTTGGCCAACTGAAAAGTATGAACATGAAAAGTATGAGCATGTACAGCACTCAGTATTTAGTTGGGCCTCCTTTGGCCTGTATTACTGCAGCAATGCGGCGTGGCATGGAGTCGATCAGTCTGTGGCACTGCTCAGGTGTTATGATAGCCCAGGTTGCTCTAATAGTGGCTTTTAGCTCTTCTGAATTGTTGGGTCTGGTGTATTGCATCTTCTTCTTCACAATACCCCATAGATTCTCTATGGGGTTAAGGTCAGGAGAGTTTGCTGGCCAATTAAGAACAGGGATACCATGGTCCTTCAACCAGGTACTGGTAGCTTTGGCACTGTGTGCAGGTGCCAAGTCCTGTTGGAAAATGAAATCTGCATCTCCAAAAAGTTGGTCAGCTGCAGGAAGCATGAAGTGCTCTAAAACTTCCTGGTATGTGGCTGCGTTGACCCTGGACCTCAGAAAACACAATGGACCAACACCAGCAGATGACATGGCACCCCAAACCATCACTGACTGTGGAAACTTTACACTGGACTTCAAGCAACGTGGATGAAGTGCCTCTCTTCTTTTCCTCCAGACTCTGGGACCTTGATTTCCAAAGGAAATGCAAAATTTACTTTCATCAGAGAACATGACTTTGGACCACTCACCAGCAGTCCAGTCCTGTTTCTCTTTAGACGCTTCTGACGCTGTCTGTGGTTCAAGAGTGGCTTGACACAAGGAATGCGACAGCAGAAACCCATGTCTTTCATACGTCTGTGTGTGGTGGTTCTTGAAGCACTCACTCCAGCTGCAGTCCACTCTTTGTGAATCTCCTCCACATTTTTGAAGGGGTTTTGTTTCACAATCCTCTCCAGGGTGCGGTTATCTCTCTTGCTTGTACACTTTTTTCGACCACATCTTTTCCTTCCCTTCGCCTCTCTATTAATGTGCTTGGACACTGAGCTCTGTGAACAGCCAGCCTCTTTAGCGATGACCTTTTGTGTCTTGCCCTCCTTGTGCAAGGTGTCGATGGTCGTCTTTTGGACAACTGTCAAGTCAGCAGTCTTCCCCATGATTGTGTAGCCTATAGAACTAGACTGAAAGACCATTTAAAGGCTTTTGCAGGTGGTTTGAGTTAATTAGCTGATTAGAGTGTGGCACCAGGGGCCATCAATTTTGAACCTTTTCACAATATTCTAATTTTCTGATATGATGAATTTGAGATTTTCATTTGTTGTCATTTGTAATCATCAAAATTAAACAAAATAAACATCTGAAATATATGAGTTTGTATGTAATGTATGAATATAATATACAAGTTTCACTTTTTAAATGGAATTACTGAAATCAATCTACTTTTTCATGATATTCTAATTTTATGACCAGCACCTGTAGCTGTTGAATCAGCAGATAGCTGAGTTCCAGCATCTTCCAAACTGTCTGCAGCCTTCTGATTGGCTCGATAACAGTGCATAGAGACTTGAATTTTATGAGTTTCAATAGTCAAGAACCTTCATCAGACCTTAGACCACCTAGTGCAAAGCATTGCAGGCCTCGGTGCTCAGCTCTGACTTTTTACACAAATCTATTCTTTAATTGTTTTTTTGTTTTTACTGTCCGACCAAAAAGTAACCTGCTTGTGCAAAAGGATGATGTAAAAGTCAGAAAAATTGAGACATGATGGTTCTGACTGCAGACGCTTTGAAAACTATTAGATATACATCCAATTTATTGACACATGGAAGCAGCACAATTATGGTCAATGAATGATTTGGTTCTTTCCAAGATAAAATATAAAAAAGAACAATTTAGATTTAAATATATTTGATAATTTCTCAATTTCTATCTTTCTATCTCTTTCTATCTTAAATCTTTGATCCTAAATGATTAAATCTTGTCAAGTGAAAGTATCTTTCTGCACAGACAGAAAACATTACTTGTTTTGAGCACCTTTCCCCTCAGATTGAGTGTTTTTATCATGTGTTTAGACACCATTTTATGTAGAGTTAAAGAAGAGAATTGTGCTGTTCAGACTGCCATTTAAAAAGTTGCATACTGGATGAAACACAAAAAGATCTGGGCAGTATTTGCCTTCTGTGTGAGCACAAAGGTTTCAGCATACCGAGACATTTGGGACGATGTCATTCAGCTGTGTGCTAAACAAGCTTCATATGGGATGTTGCTCAAATTTAGGCATATGAAGGCAAGTGACCTAAAACTTCTGGCAATAACCGTTTGACATCTGAAGTTTCTGTTTTAAGTGTCCAGAACCTTTGGTGTAACTGTAGGACAAATATCCCAAGACACATGGGCTCCTTTCAGATAAATGGGGAAGACAACAGAACATACCCTTCCTGCAAACCAAAGACATGCTTCATAAGTGAGAAAATGTCCAGTCACCTGAGCCTCCTCATATTAACAGCCAGAGCAGTATTCAAGAAGTTGAAATCAATGGGATCTTTGCAGAAAATGGCTGGTAAAGGACCCAAGTGCAAATAACTATGTAGAACTTTATACCACAATTGAAACAGACAGCATTGATAATAGGACAGATTGTCAGTTTGGATTCAGGCTTGTTAAATTGACATTTTCTTTTGCTAAAAACTAAGGTATGTTGTTCAAATAATCAAATAATCAGTGAGTGGGTGCTGGTAAAAATTCAAAGGTAATTCCTGCAGTTATTTCAACTACTCACATGTAGAAACATGTTAAAACTGGAATGAATGCAGATGAATGAGCGAGCAGAGTTGGTGTAAAAGTAAAACTGATGCAAAATGTTCAAGGTTTATTGTTTGAAATGAGTTCTGTGTGTTTGACAGAGCCGAGTGTTTTTAGTGAACTGATTTGTAAACTGGACATCAGGATGAAAGCTGGGCCCACTCCTGAGTCCGCAGCCACCTTTCTTCAGGGAACCTATTTGATTTGCAGACCCAAAGCATGCTGGGTATCTGGGAAGCTTAAGAACTGATCTGTGGTTAAAGACAGGCATGCAGAGCAGTTGAGAAAAAAAGGAAAAACTGTTAAATGCAAACTGTGTATTTAAGAACTTTACCATGAGCGTCAAAGAATTCTTCGTCCGAGCTGTCATCCGAGTCCCGCGCTATGCTCTGCATCCTCCATTCTGAGATGCTGTGACGCGATGGGCTCACTGTTAAACCACAAGAAGCAAAAGGGCTCACTGTTATTAGGAGACATTTTTATTTTTCCAGCTTCTTTTTAAACAAATACACGACCAATAAGGCAACCCCACATCACCAATCTCATGCACAAACATGGTGTTATATAAACACGCAACAGTCTCTGCGGTGCGCTAATGGGCTGCATAATGGTCAGGGGTGATGTGTGAAAAGTGAGACCCAACGCCGCCCAAACTCCCAAAACCTAAGGCTCCAGAGGAGGAGCGTGTTGCGCGCTAAGAGTCGGTCCCGTCTGTCACATGTCTATAACCGACACCTCGTGTGTGATTAAGGCAGCGGAGGAGAGAGGGGTAGGGGCACAGCTGTGGCTGTCAGGACACACAGACTAAACAGCAGATGGGGGAGGGATGTGGGGGATCTGTGATGTCAGCACTGCTACTAAAAATAGCTTCATGGAGGACCACGAGGGGTGGTGGTGGAGAGGTTGTTCCAGAGGGTGAAATGAGGTGGGCAGGAAGAAACTAGGGGTCCATGAGGATGCTGCAGCGAACACCATCTTAAAGGAAGGATGGCACATGGGCGTGTTAGGACATGTGATCTGTGATGTCAGAGGTGATTCTATAAATAGACCCAGCTATGAAAAAAAACTGCTGAAGCTAGACACTCGTACAAGGGTGAGAGTACGGAAAAGCATTGTGGATAAAAGTAAAAAGATCTAACTGACTATACTGCCACGTGAGCACGACTGTCTGTGTGCTACTATACCTCTGACCAAGTTATTTAAAGGTTTTTATATGTTGTCTGCTCCTAAATCTGCCTGCATAGTAAGCAGGTCCAAGGGTTACGCTGGGGTTACACAGTTATAAAGCAGCTTCCCTCCATAGTTAAGACACCTGTGTTAAAACATGTCAATAACATCATACACAAAATGTCCCAATTAAAAATCAGAAAAAAAGGGTAAATTATGCGGTGAATTTGACAGTACTTAAGATTTTGCATTAAAATCTGAATTATTATATAAGATGGATAAAATAGGAAGGTTATTTAACTGAATCAAGAGCTGCCTTGATAACCGGGTTATAGCTGATAGATTTGATTAAACAAGTATAAAATATGCAAAACGGATCCAATTATATTGTAAGGTTAAGATGGTGATGTGTCAGAAGTGCTACATAACCGCGCTAAAGTTTAAGTTGAACTGAACCGTGAAAAACGAGGCTGGACCCAAGGAGCAGAGTTTATCTTGGCATTACAAGATAAACTCTGCAGGACAGAAATAAAAAGGAGGACAGAAATAAAAAATTGAGGATCTCCAAAACGGTTAGAGATCTGATAAATTTATACGGTAAAATATACTGCTGCAATAAAAAGCCAATTTCACTTCATTACTTTTTCCACGTCTTTACTCTCGTCAATTATTGTAAGAAATCTACAAGCTAAAGGGAAGACACTGGCTTGGTTCAATGAGGTGTAAATGTACAGGACCTATAATATTTTGTAGATTTGGTATAATTTCATTAGTATTTGCGTGAATCATTTTATTAAAAGAGCATAACATTTGGTATTTAGGATTTGTAATATCTTATTTAAAGAAAAAAAAAAACATGAACTGATCTATCCAGTGAGTCTTTGGAGAATTTGTCACCAAGGCTGCCAGCAGGTTCATGTTTCTGAGCTTCTACTTTATTTAATCCAAGTCAGACAGGAGGAGGCAGCAGCACCCATGGAGTGGCGTCTCCACCTGCACACTATCATTGGTCTATAAACCTGGATCCTGGAAAAATCCAGTTTAAAGTTTAAGCTACCCAGAAAAACACACAAAGGATTAAAGTTATAGGTCTGTGGCTCCTTAGGGAAGAAGAAAGTAAATTTAATAACTTTGCCCATTTGATTTGGAAACTTACTGGGTGTTTTCTTTATATTTTTGCTGTTTTTTTTTTTATTATCATTTTGGATTTTTGTTTTAATCCTCCTCTTTTTTTAGCTCAAAAACTTCATGTTTTAAATATGTACATTTGGAACATCCCATTTAGGGAAATATATAAATTCTCTCTCTGTGTAAAAATGTAATACTTATGCTTGCTCCATTACTCAAACTTGGTCATAAGTTTGAGACTCTTTAACTTAAAACAACTGTATTAAGGTATATCAAGATGGCACTTGATATACTTTCTTATCCCATGTAGGTTCTGACGGTGAAGACTAATTTGCTTTATGACTGACTCGTGGTACAGATGAGAACTGTGAGAAGAAGGAAGAAAGGGAAAACATGCAATAGTTGATCTGTGTTGGACAGAGGAGACCACATGTTGAAGACGCCGTTCACCTCCTCTCTTGGATGAGCGGGAGGACCTGGATGAGGTGGACCACTGCTTGGTGAGCACACCTCGTGGCTGCAGAGTCTCTACTGATCTAGTGACTGTTTCGTCAGCCTCAATGGAGCTAATTGCTTCTTTGGCCTCCTGCTCTTTGTCTGGAGATGGAGCACTGCCATTGGCTTCTGTCGCCTCCTCCACCTGGCAGTATTGGGCCATCTTCGTGGCTAAGGCTAGCTGGGTTTCCAGCTCCAGCTGCCGGATGTTCTCAATGGTTAGACCGTACCACTCATCCTGCCAGCACCAGGCCTGCCGGTGGGCACGCACCATGACCTTTCTCAGCCCTAAAGAAAAATAACAAGCAGTCAAATGGCTAACAGACTTTGAAAAGAAAAAAAAAAAAACAACAACATGAAAATCCACAAATCCAGATCTGCTCACCAACATCATGAATGAAGCGTTCAATCTTGGACTGCATGCCCCAGTATCGAAACTCCACTTTGCAAAGTTTGTAGGCACACATGATGGGAGTCTTCCCTGGGTTGTTGTTGTATTCCTCTATCCAGTCATCCTGCAGGGGCCCCCTCTGGGTCTTCTCCGACTTGTAAAGCCTCGGGTCCTCCTCTGCCTTATACTCATGCGGGGGGATGGGATCTGTCACTATGTCGATCGGGTCTGCCAAATAAAAAATCGGGTTTCAGCCAGCAGTAACAGATGGAGCCAGCTGTTTGGAATAACGATGGTTTTATAATCATGTCATAATGGGCACAGGAGGAGCGGCGGAGCAGAACATGTAAAAGCCCGTGTTTAACAGGTTTACATTCTTTTTAAAACCAACCCAGACTGTTTACTGGATGGGTTACATAAGAGAGACCAACTGACAAAGTCATTCCAAACAACTGCAGAAATGGATCATTGCAAGCTTTTTTTGTTTGTTTTCTATAGTAGTGTGTAAAAGTTTTAACCTAAAATACAAAAATAATGCTGGATGGAAACAATGGCCACTTACAGATAATCATTTGGACAAATTGGCAAATTGTATTGTTTTTATTCCTATAATCAAGTTCAAAGAGCATTTATTTTTAATAAATAAATAAGTAAATAAATAAAACTCAAGTTCAGCTTCTCTGAAATTTACATACAGATTCTTTATAAAGAAGAGTTATGTTATAGACAAGATGAGTGTGGACTTGGGGCCATTTGCAGCACCTGAAGTATATTTTGTGGCCCCTGACCATAGCTGAAGAATATTACAAATTTAGCCTCCCAGCAAATGGAAACTTTGTAAAATCTCACCCTAAAAAATGAACAATGACAAATGTTTATGTTATTGAACTGGAATTGTTACGTACATCTAAAAGTACTACTTATTCTGCTTAGAAGTATTTTTGTTATTATTTGCTTTTATTGCTTTCTTTATTTTCCAAATCAAGTAAGTGGGGCCAAAGAATCCAAAGAGAACTTAGCACCCCCATTCATTACATGTGTCTGAATACAACTGGGCTTTTGCAAAATAAAAATAAAAAACAAGAAACATTTTGTGTTGCTGGTAATAGAATTACATCCATTTGTTGACCAACAAGATAGAAAAAAAAACTGAATCAAAAAGTAAGAAACTGTACATATTTCTTATACCCTTTTTTCCAGATCTACAACAATTTATTATTTTCTTCTTTGTTTTATTTGAATATTGCATATTAATTTATACCCTAACTTAAAAAAAGAAAGAAATTGACTCTAAGTACTTAAACTAGGTGATTTTGGTCTGCAGATCAAAACGGTCAGATCACCACTAGCCTAGACAGCTATGGAGAAGACTACTGACTTGACGGTCATCCAGCCGGCACTCATTAAGTAACATTGCTGGCTGCTGATGGTGTTCTATTGAAGCATATTAACAAAAAATTAGGTAGAAGGAAAAAGTTTAGAGCGATAGGTCAAAAAGCAAAAGGAAAAACAACAGGGCTGACGTTTCTTTCAAATCCTCTCAAAGCTGTACTTAACCTAAACAATTAGCTGAATTTTCTTGGCCATCTTCACCCAAATTATCAGAAACAAATTGAATAAAAATATAAGGGGCAATAAATCTAAATGAGTTTAATTTCTTAAATAAAAATACAAAAAAAAGAATAATTATTAAGCTGCACCTACATGTTATTGTGTATTTAGGGTTAAGGAATCTCACCGATAGTTCTTTGCCTCTTGTCGGCGGCTGATAAGTTAAAGACGTCTGCTTGGTCGCCTGTGTCGGGCTTGTAGTAGGTCTCAATGTCAATAGAGAACTTCTCAACAAAAGGACAGGTGTATCTGCAAGAGATCACCAGAAGAAATTAACCATAATAGACACGACTTACATCATGTATCCATTAATATATTAACTCTCATATGAAAGTAGATCGGTCTCAATTTTCACTAGCATACATATGTGATTCATACATGAACAGGACAAGATCCACGCATGCACAAAATGATTCACACAAGCACAAAAAAATCCACACAGACAAAGGACAAGATTCACAGACACATAGCAAGTTTGACACAACCACACAAGATCCACACATGCACAGAACAAGATTGACCAAAGTATTTCTGGTCTATAAATAATTATGCATTAATTAAAAAGAACCAGTGGTCTTTGAACTTCATTGCATTTGTATGTGGATTTTTGAGGCTCCCTTGACGTGCCTCGATACACAAACGCATTTTAACGTGAATCGTGCTGTGTTTCTGTGGATCTAGTTCTTTGTGTGTCTGGATTTGTTTGTACTTGTATGAATCGTGCTGTGCATGCATGGATCTTGTCCTGTTTATGTATGAATCACATATGTGTATTTGTGAAAATGGAGACCGATCTAGCTCCATACTCTCACTCTGAATGGCACAAGGTTATAAAAAGAGAGATGGAACATCCTCAATGATAAAGATAAAAATGGCAAGAGCCATGATCCACAGCTGTGCCTGGAATCTGCAGTAAAACAGTCTCTATTTAAACAGAAATGACAGCATCCTATTTTAGCATCTTTATCAGAGAAAAACAGATGAATAGAGTGACAATGGGGGTCATGCGAGCTAGACACTGGTTGTGCAGCTCCTTTAGCATGCTAGGTAATGCTGAGGTCTGTAGCCTCATTTGGATTTCAGAAAAACAGATCACCCTGAATCAAATTTCTTTTCTTTTTAGTTACACTGCCCTGTGCAACATCCAATAACATTTGAGCACCAGTTGCAGACCCTTAAATATACCCATATCATTACTTTATCAAACTGCTACTTTGTGCTTTGCAGAGGGGCTCTATTTCGAGCTAAAAAAAAAAAAACTATGACTGCTGCTTTGTTGAGAGAATGCAAACCTTGTTCGGGTGTAAGGGTAGGCATTCCAGGACTCCTCTTCGACCCTCAATGCTGCTTTGGGCAGGATGGAGCGGAACCAGCTGGGAATGTGCATGCCGATGTGGTAGACCTTGTGCGTATACTGACCCGCCCCACCAGGTCCATCTGTGTAGGGCTTATTCTCCAGGATCTCCACCCCACTTCCTTCCCCACAGGTCTCTTCTCTGCTCTTTTTCTGCAAGTAAAACAAAGAAGAAAAAACTAAAGCAAAAGCTTTTATATTTACGACATATAGAAGCACAGTGTGAAGGTGTTTTAAACCTTATGTAGCAGAGTCAATTCTTTCTACCACTCTTAATGAGACAGTTCATCTTTTTCTCAATCTAAATTAAATGGAATTTAGAAATAAATCTAAATCTCTTTAATATGCAAAAGTAATCCCTCAGTGGAAAGAAAATATTTATTATATCTCTAAACATGTTTCAAAGCTTTACTAAGACTGATTTATAGATATTAAAACTGTTGAAACACAGAATGATCTGCCACAATAGCCGACATATTTCATCACAGATGGACTGAGTCATCTATAACAGAGCCTAGTCTGACAAAACAATTAATTGCTTCCTGAAAGCTAAGCATCTTCTGAGTGCGTGGAGCCACACCTTCCCCATGTTTACATTCCAGGTGCAGAGCGAGGGAGCTGGGTGGAGACAGGAGGTGCAGTTGCTCAGACTTACAGCTAGGTGAGACAAAGTTTCACAATCAAAGTGATCACAGAGAAGAGCGGGAGGCATGGCCAGAGCAAGGACTGGGGATTGTTGGGAAATCAGTGAAACAGGAAATTTGAACAGCTGAGCAGAGTCCAAGTGCTGACGACAATAAGGGGGAAAAAAAAGCTGTAGAGGATCATAAATGTCAAAGTTTCGAAGTGTATCTGTTTTCTGCAGATCTAGCAAAAATGGGCCGTTTTATTCAGTCCATTTGCTTGATAAGGGAGGAAGGTTTCTCTGGTTTGCCACTGAATCAGTGGAGCAGCATGGAGGAAGTCATGCGGCATCCAGCACTCTGGACCTCATTACCTCTGACAGGTCCTTCATTAGCCACTCGCCCTGCTCTCAACAGCTCAGATGCAGTTAAAAAGACACAGCACAGACGCCCCGGCATTATCAAACCAGCCCCACAAAGCATGAATCCAAGCCCACTTTATCTGAGATCCGCCATGACAGAGTAAATATATGCTCAGAGACACAGGAGGAGATCTACTGGACCTTTAGATGCCATCAGAATTTTATGTTTAATTCAATTTAAACACAACAATCAGTGGAAAAGTCCCCGTAAAGTAAATAAAACCAGATCCAACTGCTTCTTTATAATTTACATACAGTTACATCTCGTATCTTTTCATCCATATTTATATTTCCACTTAATGTTGTTCTTCACCCGGATATAAAGGCCAGAGTGTCGAATTAATTTGATCACTCAAGTTATTTCAAGTTCTGCTTCATGAAATGAAATGTTGATCAATTTCCACTTCGTCTCTTCTTCATTAAGGGGGTAGATAAGATGTTAAAAGCCAATATCAGTACTGATAAACATAGAAATTATTTTGTTTGCAGAATATTTCAATGTTTAGATACTACTTCGTTGACAGGATGGGAGTCACATCCTGGTTTCTTTCTTGGTGCTGTCGACTCACTGGGCCTTGTTTCCTGTCAGAGATGCACTTAACTCCAAAGATACACAGAAGCTGCACAGCCGTATGGTTCGGCTCGAACAGAGGAGCAACAGCAGAACAGTCTAACATTTCATCCTCACTTGATGCGTTTTCTTTGCTCATTACTGCAAATCCCTGCAGAGTAATGAAGAAATGATCGCTTGGCTATCAAATTAGAAGGTGGCAGTAGGGCAACGGAAATAAGCGGAGATAGAGTGGGCGTGCTGAGCGAGACATGGCTAAGATGTCCTAAGGCCCTGTCTTCCATCCATGAGGCCTGTTGTGGATTGGCGTCAGGCGGGCCTATGTGTGGCTGCTGCCCTGGTAACCTGCAGCACTGCAACTCGGGCATGCTGGCGTCTCTCGCCAATCCTTCCTCAGAGCCACAATTTTTTTTTTATTCCACATTTCCTCTTTTCATTCACTCTCTCATGAGCAAAAACCTGACCACCGGCATGCGGGCTGATGTGTGACGGCATGGTTGCCATGGTGAGAGAAGCCTTACAGCAAAGAAGCTGTGTAGAGATGGTGAGGTCAGTGATAAAGGTAACTATGGGTCAATAATGCAACACTCCTAGAGTGCTGGTGGATGCCTGAGAAACTCAATGTTATATTTCTGCCACGTTGGTCGTGTCCAGCTGTCAGTAGAGATCTGTCTGGGAAAAAAGCGGATCAGAACTAAAATGTTTCGTAAGGCTGATACTTCACAATTAGTCACAGGCTATCAAAAAAGTACTGGAGGAATAAGAGTGTGCTGTTTAAACTTATATAAAACGTTCTTTTTATGTTTGTCCGGGTAGAAAAACACTTAAGTCAACTTCTGCAGGACTGTAAACGGTGCTTTATGTTGACTAAAGGAGGAAGTTCAGGTTGATTTACTTATTGCTATAGTTTCTCCTGCAAGCTCGTTTTTCCTTCATAAAAACATATTGCTCATTCATGTGAGCTTCCTGACTGTTATCACCAGATTAAACACAACGTCTATCTATCATGCATAAGACTGGACAAACAATATAACCCAGTCAACCCTAAAACAAAATGATAGTGTAAAAGGATATCTTCTTGTATGCATGTATTCAGGGTTTATAAGGAGTACTGAGAACATTTTCTATCACAGCCTGAGACATAATGTCACTTCCGTATACTCTCAGTATTTCACTGTTCATGCTGCCCACAGCATAACCTGCTTCTTACATAAATATATCCTCATTTGCACCAGCCACAGGAAGGGAAATTTGTTGTTATACCATTAACAGCTTTATATTATATATTCTCTTTTTCATGTTCACCACAGAACTCTGTGTACATTAATAGGAATTTAGGTCATGCATTAACACAAAGCAGTAAATAATGGAAATAGATCTGTAATCTACCTTGCAAGTCTGTCTTTTCTACAGCTGCATTCAGTCTCTCAACATCTAGAGGTTTTTTTCACATTCTCAGTAGAAAATGGCCCAACTTAGTCGAATCAGATTGTAAAAGCTGTGTACAGCTGTTGTTTGGAACAGATTCCTCTTTTCGGTTTAGGTCTGGGGATTAACAGGCCATTCTAACATATGGTCTTAAACCATTTCATTTGTATGGTTAAGGTAATTGTTGATAAACTGGCTTTGATCTAAACTCCTTTAGGTTTTCTTTCATAACTGCCCTGCATCTAGGTCTTTCCATCAAGCAACCAGCTCTCAGCAGCTTTCCTTCTTCCCCAAAGCATCACTTCACCACTCTTTGACCAAACTCTGCATTTTGTATATGACCATGTGGCTCAATTCTGTCCTCATCTGACCTTATTCCACATATAGAAAAGAACTGCTTTGGATCTCTGCAGCTCCTCCAGAGTCATACCCCTGAATTTTCTTTTCCGGTCGATGGAGTTATCAGTGCTCTGTGAGACGTCTGTACAACCCTCTACCGGAACCATTTCTGTGTCCCTTGACCCTAATAATGTTTCAAGAATAACCTATGCTTGTATGGGAACTAAACTGCACATTAGCTGCTTTTAACTTGCAAATGAGGTGACATCAGGTGACATCTGAAGGAAAACTGGCAGTCATTTCTATTTTAAGGGATAGAATAGTGATAAAACCTGCATTAAATCAGGTATTCTTTCCTTGGCACAATTCTTTGAGCCAATTTATAGCAGGAAATCTTGATAAAACCCCCCAAAATGTGAATGAATCTAAGGCGTTTGAATACTTTTGTAAAGCAGTGCAGCTTTGCATCAGACTGACCTGAACTTGGATTATCCAGAATCCTAAAAGCACTCTTTGTTCCTTTGCTTTTTCCATGGCACACACAACTTGCAATCAATCATTTTGCAATTTGTTGTGGAAAAAAAATATCTCCCCTGCTTATCTTCGCCTCGTCTGCTCCTTATAGCTCCTCGGTTTTTGTTTTTTTTTCTATTTTCTCACCCCTGGTGGTTGGTTGGTGTGTGTTAGTGTGAGTGTAGGTGAAAATTAGGTGGGCCATGTGTTGTGCTGTTATCTCACCTGGATCATGTAGAGCTGGGCAATGCGGTACTCCTCCACACTCATGGGCATGGGGATGCGATACTCTTTAATGAGCATGGTGGAATCTTGGGGAAGAGGGGACGAGGAGGGATAAAAATGACCAGGAAACAGGGGTGGGGATGGGGAGGGAGGGAGGGGTGGAGGGAAGGGATGGGGAGAAGGGAAAAGGAGAGATTCTGGATGCTCCTATATGAGGCTCTTCAGATCACCGAAGGCTGCATGGAAAGTTCCTGTAGACAGATAAAAAAAATACAAATCACAAACAAAATAAATATTCTTTCAAGAACTTAACCAAGAATTCCTGTTAAAAGACATCTATCCAGATCCTAACGAGTCTTAAAAAAAAAAATCCTCTACACGAAAAATAGAAAAAAAAAGAAACCTTCCCAAAGCTCACGCGTTGATGAAGAAAAAAGGAACCAGTATCATTACTCTCTGTTGGGTTGGAATCGGCGGGAAGCTCTGGCATCCGAGACTAGAAACAGCAGCTACCTGAACACAGCTCCCTTCTTATACAGAATCCACGGCCCAGTCCACCCCAGCCTTCCGGCGCCGTCACATGGGGAGCTTCGCTCGGCAACAGAGGGATTACAGTTTAGTGAGGAACTTTACATAACTTTGCACAACCAAGGTTTCACAAATAGCTCCATCTGAGTTACACAAAGCTTTGTTTTCCAACCACTGGGCAGAAAGAGGTAGGTGTGGGCTATACATGTGCAGCGTGTGGGTGGCGTGAGCTGCAGAAGTCTGCCGTAACCCGTGCAGGAAGACTAGTTCTCTGAAGCACAGCAAGTAAAAATCAAAACGTATCAGCGTGCATCACAATGAAGAGTGTGATGCACGCTGGTTTGTCTTAATCTCCTAAATGTCAACCGGGGTAATTCATTAACCGAAGAGGAGTCAATGTGCCGGCGAACAGCTAGTGAAAGTTCTAAAAAGACATAACATTACATAATAGCACATAAAAAACTGTGTTTGATCCTGAAAGTTTATAGTATGACATACACAATCATGCAGGGGCCTAAAGATTTCACTCACACACAAACTCCATAAAGATGGGAGGCCGCATCAAGCTATCGTTAAAGATAAAAGCGAATAGAGTTGTGCATGAGTTTATTAATCATAAGCTGAAGGGAAGAAAAAAAAATGTGTGGTGTGATTGCAGCTGGAGTCAGAACATCCACAGCCACCAGACACAGAGGTATACAGGGCAGTGGGCTTCCTTCATCAGAGCCACTCCTGAGTCTGAGAAACATTTAACCTGGGCTAAGGAGAGAGCAGGAGTGGCAATTTCTCTGTTCACAAGTCTTCATCTAAACTGAAAGTGCATTTTGTATTTTACGAGGAGATCAACGTCCCAGATTCGAGCTGGACAAGCTGAAAGCTGCTTTTTATGTGCTTTTTAAATTAGAATAGTCTCATTTACTGAGAAACTGATTTACTTGTTTTTTTTTTTTTATTAGCTGTAAGCAATAATCCTCAGAAATAAACGAAAATAAAGGTCTGAATTGCATCATTCCGTTCGTAATGAATCTATGCAATATAAAAACGAATTACCGAAACAAAACAACATTTTATTGGTAGTCAAATTGATCAAGATGTACCTGTACTCTATTAAACAGAAATGCTACAGCATACACTAAAATCCATCCAAGCTTACAGCAAAAGATGAAGCCAATATCGTAACACAGCTTAAATTTGCTTTGAAAACTCTGAGAACACTGCCTTACATAATCACAACATTAACAAATGTCTGACCCATGGCAGCAGCTGGACAAAGCTCTGGGGCTCAGCCATTCTGGGTAATCACTCTAATTGCACTAATATTCCCACTGCGTCACTTTACCCACCAAACAAAGAGCAGCTCCTGATGTGACCAATATTCCTGTTCCTCCTCATGTCCACTTCTGCAACACCTTACTGCAGACAAATCACTCCAAAAACCTGATGTACCACAGTGATCCGGTTAAAAGAGCATTACATTTCCATTGTGCTGCATACTATTCTTCATGTTTGTTTTCTAGGAAGTAACAATGCCACAAGAAAAAAGAAAAAAAAATCAGAGCAGAGGGCCACGTTTTTCTGAAAATAACTGCACTCTAGGGGAAATGTTTGGAGATAAGTAGGCTAGCTGTAGGGACTCTGAAGAAAAGCCCGTGGCCCGACAGCCTTAAAGGGCTTTAGAAAAGGGAACCAAACTTATTAGAGGAAGGTCACTGCTTAAGCCTCGACATGCTGCTGAAAAAAATGGGTCAACAATCTGAACTCTGATTCAGAAAATTTCCTTTCATGAGAAAGATGAATAAAAAAGGAAAGCGTGCAATAAGAAATGTTAAAAGAACTGCTGACCACAGGAAAAAAAGATGTTTCTAGTCAACAACAGGCAACCACTGAAAAGAAGGTGGACTACTTCAGACAGGTCACCAGTCCAGCTGAGACAAAACCAGCACAAACCATCAAACATAAAGACAGACATAACTGGGAGTAACTTAGAAACACCAGCTAACCCAAGATGCATGATGACTGTGCGAGGAAACTGGACTACATTGGAAAAAAATTTGAGGGGAGAAGATGCAAACTACACACAAAAAGACTAATATCAGCATTTGAAAGGATTCCTGCAGATACAAGATTGCAGCAAACTGTGAGAACTCGAAACAATGATGTCTTTACAAGAATCCACTCAGTCTCCTGATAGAAACGTATTATTTCAATTAAACCTAATAAATTTTGACCAATCAACCAATAAATAAATGATTTTTTTGCAACGGCTGAAGAAGCAGATTTATTTGCGTTCTTACAATCCACGTTTGGCTCAGTTTTCTAACTTTGTGAAAGTATCACCAGTCTTTATACAACAGCTTGCAGCTCATATAGTTGTATTTAAGCAGCAGTTATTGTTCAGATTTGTTTAAAAAAATCTCTTTCAATGATTATTTTCAGACTAAAAACATCTCAATGATCCGATTTCCAGGTGCAGATGCTTCTCTCTTGCAGATTGGAATCTGTTCGCTCTCCCACTGTTCTTTTTTGGATTCCGGTACAGATGCTGTCCACAACATTGGACCTGTACTGCTCAATCCACCAGCATCCCCCAGAGAGGACTGGCACCATGGTTGACCCAGAAAAAAAAAAGGCACTCTCACACACAGAGTTTAAAAATAGCTCAGTCACAATAATCCTAGCATACGCAAGCAGAGTGCCTGACGTTAGTTCAGAGAATATGCTCATTCCCGTCTAAAAATACAGCCTCTGCCCCCCCCCCCCTCCATCAGGCAGTGACGCAACAGCGGCACACGCCAATGCAAGGGGCTCATTACAAAGCAGCCTCCAGTGTTTCAGCTCCGGTTTCAACAAAGCAAAGCTATTGATAACTACAGCATTCCTCCTTAAAAATGAGAACAATCCACTAAGGAATGAAAAGGATTTTTTTTTTTTTTGCAAAATCACATTGTTGTGTTTTTACGTTTATGCAGACCTAGGCTCTAAAGATCACGGATAACTTCTTTAAAGGAATTTGTCACGGATCAGAGAAAATCTGCGGACAACATGTCAAATTAAATCAGTGGCAACAGGAAACGTAAGTGACATAAACGCAGGAGAAGCTTCTTTTCCAGGAAACCAAAAAGCTCTATTTTCCAACACGCAAGGCTCTATGCTTTACCACATCAATGTCAAGTTACATTAAAATATCCGTCTGCAACGGCAACATATGACATAAGATAGAGGACTATATGCACATAAGAGAGGGTGGGCCCCCCAGGGGTATGCCATCAAGCGCAGAGCCTAAAATCAGTAGCTTCATGCAGGCTGAATGTTGCAGCTAAGCCTCTTTAAAAAAGTGAAAAACATTAGCCGCTGCAGTGCCTCTATGTTGGACTTAACCTTCTCAATTCACTGTTGCAAACACAACCTAAGCCATTGACTTGAAAACAAGTCAAAATATGTAAACATTCAAAAATGAGATCTTCCTGCTGAGCTGAATTCAATGTTTGTAAAAATACCTTTCAGGGTTTTCTAAACTCAAGTTCTGACTTTGTGTTTGAACAAAGAGAAAAATGTCCTCGACATTCTTTGCAAGTAGTAGCTTTAAATCTAAAAGAAAATGAAGGAATTTATTTTGTGTTTGCTTTTTTTGTCACACTGCCACTAACAACTGCTATCATGCAGTGGTGATGACAAGCAGGAAGTCCCGCCCACTCTTTTTTGCAGAATTGTTTCCATTTATTCACAATGGAAGATTTGTGTTTTTAGCATGAAAGATCTGCTTAAAGGTATGTCCTTGTATCTCAATCAGATTAAAAACCCTACTATGACTAGGACGTTCCATTCTGTCTAGGTCTTAGTTTATACCAGATATAAACAGTCAAAACAAAAACCAGAATGTTTCTCTAAAATATTTACTTTTAAACAAATTTGAGGTGGACCAAATTTTATTAAAGCCTCTTTTTGTCATCCAAGAGTGACAGTAATTTATTTCAGTAATAGATTTTAACAATGATCACAGTGATACTGGGGTAAATCAACAGATGTCTCTATAGAAATTATTTTTTTTAAACCCTCTCCAGCAGATGCTGTCGCTCTGCCATCATGTTATCCTGAGCGGAGCTGTCCAAATAGTTAAAAATTTTAGATAAAATTACGTAATTTTGCTGTACAGACCTCACTCACGCATCAAGCATAAATCAGGCCTAACTCTCCTGGTTATACCGTTTTTACTCAGTTTTTTTCCACCATTACTCATGACTAGAAACTCTGAGAAATGTGAAAGAAAGAACCCAATAAGTTATTTATCTGTACTTTACTATTCTTTAGACCAGGAAATGCCATGATCAGGGAAAATGTGGTTATTGTTCCCTTAAAGACTTATATTTGTGATTCTTGATATTTTTGTCAGCTTAACATTGTAATTTCTACATTTTTATTCTACGGGTCAGGCAGCAGACAGGCTTTTATTGGAACAAAGCACTAAATACCTTGAATAAAGCCCAAGAATGCCAATTTAAAAAAGACTTGATCAGCTAACATATACAAAAGAAGCAAATTATTTTTCAGTGTTCCTGAACTTTATCTAATATTTAAAACAGGTTGGGGTTTTAGGTTTTGATGCATTAAAAAAAATATATTAAAAAATAAAAAATCTCTTATCAACCGAAAAGCTGAGCAAGAGATAACTTGCCAACTTGAACCCCTGAATTATAAAAAGGCATCTTGAGATAAACAGCAAATG